GTCGAGAACTCGATTCAACAAACTCTTTTGTTGGTCGACCTCTTTTTGCTGATTCATTTATTTAACCCTCTTGATTACCTGGTGATTCAATTAAATCAGTTGTTTTAAAAACTGAATTAAGCCAAACCTGATTTTAACTATCAAATATATTTTTTTTCGATATGCCATAGCGCAACAACATCAATTTTTCAAAATTATTTAGCGCTCAAGATCGCGAATGGTCGCAGCCACACTTCTCAGAATATTTAGTAAACACTATAGACTAAAAAATATCAAAATGTGGAAAAGTTACAAATTGGAACAATTTTTAATTCTTCATCAAAGTTAAAATTTAGTACTTTTGTGATGAATTTTTTACATTCGATGCTTAAAATTGTTGTGCCATCTTTTTCAGAAAATTATTTAATTTTTATTTTAACAGTCTATATTATAACCTTTTCAAAGATCTATATATTTTCATTTTTTCAATGATCTATATACTAAAAAGATCTTTTACAGACAAAACAAGAAAGTAAAAATATTCTCGATTAAGTCTCGTTTAGCTTTAAATAAGATTTTTAACTTCTACTGCTTCAATTGGTATAAAATAACCAATATTTGGATTAAATTGGCTTCAATTGGTCCAGTTTGTTCCAGAATTTGTAAAAAAGCCCTTACGATTTTGATTTAAATAAAGATATCGAGGAGAAATTTTCTAAGTTATTTTCTCTATATCATAATACCATTTGTACATTTATATGAGATCTCCTCATACTCTTCGTTGTATTACAGATGTCAACTTCATTTTTTTAGTCTTTCATGTATGATAGATGACATTACTCAGGTACAGATTTCGTTACTCGTTTTTGAATTTTTTCTATTGTGTTTATATCTTTTTTAAAATAAGGACTCATACCTGTATTGCAAATTCTAAATGCGGCCGTGTATAACTGCAATACATCAATTTTATTAGTATCTATTTTTCTTTACTATCTTTATATTTAAATGATTTGCATGTTATACCAAATTTAAAGTTTGATAATGCAATTTTGATTTGTGGTTCTCGTTTTAAGTCATTTGAAATCATTTGAAGTCAATTTCATTTTAAGTCATTTGAAACTAATACGCCTAGATCCTTTTCTAATTTTGTTTAATTAATTCTTGCGCAACTTTTATCTTTTGTAAAACCATGCTGATTAGAAAATAATAAGCTTTTAGTCTTTAAATAATTTAAGAGTTGGTTAGATATTAAGATATTAAACGTTTTACAAAGAATCGCAGTTAAGGAAATTTCCTTCCATAAAATAGATATACACCTTCGTAAATTGATTTGTTAAATTTAATTAATTTAATTAAAATTAATGGATTAGAAAAAGCATTTACACATTCTTTTAATAGAAAGGATGAATTTCATCTGGTCCAACCGAATTTCTTGTGTTTATAGCATTTATCACGTTAATAACTTCAGTTGAGGTAATACTAATAAACTGTAATGAATTTAAACACTTTTTTTCAAAGTTTGGTAAAGTATCGTCGTTATCTCCTATAAATACTGGTTGAAAATATTCATTCAAAGTATCAGCAATCTGCTTTTGGTCCGTAATGATGCACGCATTAGAATCTTCAATCGAAGTCAATTAGTTTTTAATTTTTCGTTTTTTGTTGATATAATTATGCTGCAGTTTTGGGTCTGATTTTGCTTTTTTAGCTATATATTTTTCGTACTCCATTGCATCTGCTCTCGCAGCCAATCTCCAACCATTATCACATCACCATAATGTTGCTTTTCTTTCTTTTTTCTACAAATATTATAACGAGCACTGCTTTAAAGAGCTAGTGCCTCCTGTGCAATCTACTAAAATTCATTCTCGTGTTACTCGTCTTTCAGTTAAGCCTCATCCTTTTTTGCGACTGTTTCCTAAGTGCTAAGTTCCTTGTATCCTAAGTGCTCCAAAAACTCTTATTCATCTATCTTTTTTCCTTGAACATCAGTTCTTTGGAATTCTCTTCCTTCGTTTTGCTTTCCTGATTCATATAGTTTACAATCTTTTAAGTCATCTGTCAGTCGTTATGTTGAACTTCAAACTTCATTTTTTCTCTTCCAGTAACTTCCAACTCAATGTTGTTGCTTGTGGTTGCTTGCAGCTTTGTTGGAAGCGAAGACGTTGAAAAAAAAGTAATACTAATAAAAATAATAAATGATACAGATATAACCATGTAATTTTTAGGATATGTATATAATGTAGTTTAGTTTAATACTGCTTAATAATTTCATAATAACTGGTGCGTCTTTGCTGCAGTGTTTTGTTTTTTATGATGAGCAACTTTAGCCGCGTTTTTCCTAGAACCACCATTGTGAAATGTAACATATATTTTTGCTCAATACTTTGGATAGAATCGAAATTCTATCCAAATTTACACTCATTTTGATGTCATTATGGAGTCTGAAATACCCTTAAAATGATGCTTAAAACTTTTATGTCATATTCGGCATGATGATGCTATTGGTTAGGTAGGTCACAAACGGACAACATACGCATACGTATACGTATATTAATACACATAACAAGCTCTTTATAATTACCAAATAGATACAAATATATATTTGTTAACTACTTATTTGCATTATTGTTATTCAATAACATTTATTAGTCAAAATAATAAAATTCATTTAAGCTTAATAAGTTATGTTAACATATAAAAATTAACATTTTTTTCAGAATCGTCTGGTCATTTCATCAAATGTTTAAAAAAAAACATGATACTACTAATAATAACAAATTTTCATTTAAAAACAGTATCCCATGGCACTACTAATTAAAAAAAAAAAATGTTCTCTCCAAAAAAACTAAGTTTGTCGACAAGTACCCGGGTATCGAGAACCTGCCCGTTGTTTACTAGATAGCATTATCAAATGACGGTGAACTGTTGTTTGATTTTTTACTACGTATAAAATTCTTTCCGTTCGTTTTTAAGTTTAAAATCATCTATCATAATAATTTAATTAATTTAACTTTGTATGCAAAAGAAGATCTGTTTGTTAAAAAACCTAATAGTTACAGAAACCCAATTTGCTATTTCTCATGTTATTTACTTCGTTTTTCTTTAAACTAGAACTTTTCCAACTCATTTATTAGTTTGTTCCTTAGAAAAAACTTACTTTTAAAACTTGAAGCAAAACCGACGAAAGGTTTGGATTTATGGATGAATTTACTTCTTACTTTTTGAAATTGCCATTGGCTGTCAACAATAACAACTACCAAAAACTTTTAGCGCGCAAGTATATGTCTGTACATGCAATCTTGACTGCTTTCCATGTGGCCAATCGACAACGTGCATCTTTGGCACCCAATTCATTCATTGAATTTGTGTAACCTGTACACTTAAAGTACAAAAAAAAATTAGTATAAGTGAAAAAGAATAACTCTAAGTAAATGACATAATTGAATGAAATGTTTTTATTGACTGTTTATAAGTACAACTTTTATAAAAAAAAGCATTGTTTTTGTAACAGATAATCATTTTACCCAGCCATCTGTTTGGTTGGTAGCCGGGAAACACTACTGGCATTTGTTTTTCAAAGATACATTCTAAATGTCTTTAAAACGTTTTTTAAACGTCTTTTTAACGTTCTTTACGAAAGAATGTTTAGAAGACATTTAAAAGACATTTAGAACGTAACTTTTAAAAACAAATGCCAGCTGGGAAGATTTTCATAATTTTTTGACAGTCCTAAATGATAAAAACTCAAGTGCGTTTTTAACGCATGTGCATTAGAATGTAAACAAAGAGACCTATATTCACGCGAAGTGCCGTTTTATGTGAGTTTAATTTCTATTTTAATGGAAAAAGTACTCTAATTTTCTCCCAATTTTTTAAAAAAGTAAATTTGGTTTGGGTTTTGCTCAAAGTTTGCTTAATAAAGATAATTTTTAAGCGAATTGAAATTTCGTTCATGCAACTGCATCCTTAAAATACGTTGAAGTGAAAATAAAAACATGAGACTGTCACAACCGATTAGAAATAAACTGTGTTTTTGTAAACTGTGACTAATGCCTAAAAATAACCAGATTTTTGTTTGGTACGTGGCCTCGCTTGGATGCACAATTTCTCCTAGTTTTTAATGTGCTTTATAAGGAGTAAACTTTAATCCTTATGTGATTGTAATTTTCAAGACCTGAATAATTTGTTTTGTTTTCAAACAAAAAGCAATTAAATAATTTAAAAATATTTCACGACATAAAATATTTTTAAATTGACTAACTAATTTAAAAATATTTCATATCATGAAAATTAATACTCATGTATATGAATATTTCATAAACATGATATGATAAAATTTATTTTTAGTCTTATGAGATAAAGTGTATAACTTTAAAGGATTAAATATTAAAATAAAAGTTAAAAAAAAAACTAAGATTAAACAAAGTGTATTATGGTTTAAATAAAATTAAGGGTTTAATTTAAATTAAACACTTAATTTTATTAAAAAAGGTCCATAATATTTTTGACTTTCTTTTCACCCTTATTAGATAGAAGTCGTTAAACAGATATTAAAAAACTTAGAAGGACTTAAAAAAACAAAAAAATTACACAGAAAATAACTACGGCACAAAAAAGCTTAGAATGGCAAAACAAAGCAAAAAAAAAACAAAAAATCAGTTCTAATTTTGAAATTCACAATCAAGGCCTAATTCAATTTCAAAATCTTTGCCTAATAAATTCAGTTATAATTACATATAAATATTTATAATTTATGTATGTTAATTTGATATTTTTATAATGTTTATGGTTTCTATTTTTTGTAATTAAAAGCTTACAAATGTATTGATAAGGTAGGGGTTACAAAAATAGATTTTCTTTTTGAAACCGTTCAGATTAGGAGTTTTAAGTCGTATATAAATTTCAACAAAATAAACTATTCTACTGCGTATTAGTATCATGGGTATTTATATTAATATTTATTTGACAAGGGAATGAGAAAAATTCTATAAATTTGATTAAAAAGTATTTAAACTTGGTAAAAAAAAAATATTCAAAGAAAAAACAGGGAAAAGGTAGAGATCTTCGCCTTAATAAGTATAATCAAAACCTTTTAAAAACACTCAAAAATGTTGCTAAAAATATTAATGTTAGTACTATGCAACTTGGTAAAATCAGATGTTTATTTACACAATCCGAGGTAAAGTCATAATAACTTTATGTAGTAGTTTATATTGTCTTTATGTTATTTATTTTGCAGTTTATAGTGTTTCAACTCTTTATTTGTTATTTAAATCTGCAAAACGTTACGGACCATCGGGGAATAGTTAGTTAAAAAAGTTAGAAAAGTTAGAAAAGTTAGAAAAGTTAAAGTCCCACTCAAGTTTTTTTGACATTTTAGAAAAAAATTTTTGTGCATCCGCGCATTCTGCTCAACGATTGCATCTGCACATTATATATTTTGATTTGCAAAATATTGCAACAATTGCTAATTTACTTATTTCGTTTTTAAATTATACCTACTTCAGTATTATTCATATATTACCTATATATATATTATATTATATTATAATATTACATTGCCTATATGTTACATATGTTTATATATTATATTATAAATTTTATATTATCTATATTATATTCCCAAATTATACCTAATTCATAAATTATACCTTATTCAAACAAAATTAAAAATGCATTTTATTAGAGACTTTTAAGTTTCTAATAAAGTCAATTTTCAATTTTGTTATGAACTAGGTATAATTTTTTTTTAAGGCAAAATCTGTATTTAAAGAAAAATATTTCAGATAAAAATAAAAATATTTAATATAATTAGAAATAAATAAAAAATAACACAAATCGTTTAGTGTGAAGAGCTATTCAAATATTTAATGGGTGGGACAAATTTAAAAAATTTATTTAAATTCTAAAGTTTTTGTATTGTTTTAAAAATAATTTAAACACAGCGAAAGCAATGAAAGCACAGCGGAAAGATATTTGTACTATGTGCTATAAAAGAGCATTTTAATGGATTTCTTTTTTTTTTCCGGGTATGTTTAAAAGCTACGATTAGCATTTTGAATTCAAAATTTAGATGCAAATGATTTATACAACAACTTTGTCAATATTTTTAATAGAGGTCAAAAGTTTATAAAGATATTTACAAAGGCAAATGTTAGGACTAAAATAAGTTCTAGCTATTTAGTTAATTATTAAAAATGTTAACTAAATAAAAACTACATTTTATTTTGCATGTTTGTTTCTTAATTTTTCGAAAAAAAATCAATTAAAAATATTGAAAAAAATAAAAAAATAAAAATAAAAAACCAAGTTATCCTTTACGAAACATCTATCGTTTTAAATGTCTAAAGAAACTCAAAGGTAATGCAGGTTTTGCAGGGCCGAAAGGGACAGTTTATCCGGGCGGCAGGTATCGAAGGGGCGCCAAATGAAAAGAAAGTACCTAAAAGAAAAAAAAATGAACTTATGTATATACAGACAAAAAATAAATAGTTGAATAACTCATTAAATTATCTGACTATCTATTTTTTATTATCTATTTTTTGCAATTTTTATTATTTTATTTTATTATTTTTTGCAGTTTTCACGGGCTATTTTTATTTTTGGTTTAATTAAAGACTACGCGAGGGGAAACTTTTGATCTTTTTTGTTTTATCTATTAGTGAAATTTAGCTTTGCGTAATTTACGGATGATCCTTTATCATAAATAAACTATTTAATGCGTAATTCCTATAAAAGCGAATAAAACTTCCTATTAATTGATTAAGTAAAGAATTTTACAACAAATATAAAAGCTAAGAGTTGAAATGATTAAGTTGCAATATATATATATATATATATATATATATATATATATATATATATATATATATATATATATATATATATATATATATATATATATATATATATATATATATATACATATATATATATATATATATATATATATATATATATATATATATATATATATATATATATATATATATATATATATATATATATATATATATATATATATATATATATATATATACATATATATATAAGTAATAAATTCAATAATAAGATACATTTATATGAATAAAGAATAAATATATGTATTTGTTATTAAAAGAGTTGTTCTTTCGAAAAAGAAAAATGATTACGATTAGATATAGCAGCTGCACAAGAAGGTAAAAACCATGGAGTAGAATGAGGCTTGATTTTGAACCAACAAGAAGGATTCATTCCCGCCTTAATCAAGGAGGTTACGTAGGAGGTTTATTTACCAGCTGAGAGAAAAAAGACATCAACCCAAGGACCGTCACAAAGAAAATCACAAAAAGAATCACAGTCAGCTTTAGGGTAGTAGTAATTAGTACAATGATAGGATGAGTCTGAAAAAAAAGGTATGAGATTAAAGGTTTATAGAGAAAATTGTATGGTCAGAACCACCTGAGGGAGAAAATCAGGATATTAACGAGGAATAAATTTGATACGTTTTGACGAAATTGGGAAATTGTCAATTTAATTCCGGTACACATTTTTATCGGAGATAAAAATGTGTGGGGTCCTTTTCTTATATTATTTTTCTTCTACTACACTTTAGCGCTGCATACGTTGATTGGACAGCGCCAAAAATAAAATAAAATACCGTCAGTAACATTTGTTGAAGATGAATATGAAATCAACACAAGATTAAACGTGGTTGCACAACGGCAAGGCAAATTAGGCTCTGATTTCCAAAGATATATTTAGAATTATATATTTTTATATTATAAAATAATCAGTGTGTATTAATTAATTATTATTAAGAATAATATATTTGATTTACTTTTAATCTTAATATATCGTTGCCGCTTTCATGTTTAGCGTATTCTTTTGAATATATATAATTTTTTCACTGGTGGGCATTAAATGGCGATTTTTAAAGTAATATAGCAATTTATGTTCAATGAAAAACGGAAGAGAGATAATGATCTTCTACTTCTAATTATTATTTAATTTATGTTTGACGACCTTTCGGACGAACCTTTGCAACATCATGTAATAAATTGTGTCATCAAAAGAAATGTTTTAAAAATAGAAAAATACAAAAGGTTTTAAAAATAGTAAACACAAGCATGTAAATTTCATATTTCACATTTATTGCGAGTTCAATTTTACAATTAATATTAACTTTATTTATACATAAACCGCATAGCGAAATAAAGTTATAATTACAAAGTCTCAGCAAAAACAACCACAAATGTCGTTTAATTACAAAAGAATTACAAAAGATTCGCTAGCGATTGCACGTTATCGTGGCAGCGAATAACAATAATAATAATTTTTTTAAAAGCGTGCACTTTTAGAGGCACTTTTCCACTATATCGATAGAAAAATTTGCTGGGTCGACAACACAAATTGCTTTAGTACGACTTTCAAAAGCTGGCAATGGACCTTCGAGCTTCAAAACAAAACCGAATGAAAATAGTTATTCAATAATTAACATATATTGCCGGTATCGGTAATGATGTTGCTATTAGTTGTTTCTTGCAATGTAATAGTGTTTCTAATGCTCTTTTTGCTTTGTACATGTGCATGTAAGCGTTTAGGGTTGTTTTTGTACTCACTGGAGAGGTTTTCTTTGTAATTAAGCCTGGCAGATTTTACCATTTTAGTAATATTTTTGCATGCGGTGCGATGTGATTCTTTGAGTAATTGATGCGCATCGCGACCTGCATTAATGTATTTGGCCCTAGAGGCGCGTTTAGCTTTGACCGCCTTAATAAGTTCTGGTGTTACCGATTGCTCCTGTTTTTCAATAAAGGGAGTAGTTGTTGATGGGATGTATAGGTTGATAGCTTCATTATATACGTTTACTAGGAGTTGATAGCTATCGTTTGCATTTAGACCAGTGAGTTCTAATTCCCAATCAACAGCTGTAACGTGCGAGGATGTTGCTGCGTAGTTTGCTCGGCTCCAAATAAGTCGAGGTCGTAATGGCAAAGTAGGCAAGTTGTCAGCGCCTACAACAGCGAGTTGACCTTCAATGAAGCAGTATGCCTGGCCCATTGTAGTATTACAGAGAGAACCACCTTGTTCGATGAAGATGGCACGGTCTGGCTTGTTTGTTATGATCAGATCAAGTGTGCTAATGGGCTCGACGTGTCGACTCCTACGGTACGTTGGGAATGTGACAAGCTGAGTTAGGTGACATTTATCAAGGCACTTTTGAAACCTGATATCGCCTTGACGCTCATCTCTCACGTGGACAACTGTTGCAATGCCACCGTTAACTTTGACAGACTCATAAGATGTATGGCTAAAATTGAAATCTCCATATAGAAGGATTGTCGAGCAGTTTATATAGGCAGTATCTGCCGAGCGGCCGTGATCGATGTGATACACTAAGTAAGAACCTGATCATTAAGGTCGTGAGAAATTTATAAGCAGCCGAGGAGAAACGATTCTTCGCTCATTTTTATTTTTTGCCAAATTTTCTCAATTGATGTTGAGTTGAGCTAAGTAGAATTAACTTCATTGACTATAATATTGTCTTTTGTATAAATAGCAACTCCGCCGCCTCTTTTTTCTCTGCCTTTGCGATAAGGTTGGTAGACGGGTATGGTAACGTCTTTTTTTAATTTTTTTAAACTTATTTATAGCAAATATAAATTTGCTTTTATGTTTTAAGTTCAAGCAGGCAGTGAATCTAATTTTCTTGTTTTTTTAAATTTCTAGTACCAGTTTGTTGTAATAAAGAACATTCTTGTTATTGAAGGAATTCGATTTACATTTTAATATACGTATTTAATTTACGTTTAAAATATAAAAAACCAGTAAAGTAAAGAAATCTATTTTTCTCATTAAATAAATTTCTAGAACGAGGTTGTTATAATCAAAAAACATTTATTTAACTTAATTAACTTTTCAGCCAAAAAGGGCGAAACTTTTAAAGAAATAGCATTTGTGGGTGTTAAACCAAACAATTTTGTAATTTTTTAAATTTTACTTTATTTCTTGCTAACTTCTATTTTATAATATTTGCTGTTGTTGGAACGCATTTTAAAAAATTATTTGCTTATTTTGAGTGTAAATGAATTTTTTTCCTGGCGATTTTAGGGATTTTCTGAAAATTCCAATCCGGCAATAACGGCAATTTTATTTCAATAAATTATAATTTTTTATGTTGTTTTTCTATTAGTTTTTAATAGTAGTTAATTTTCAATAATTTTTAGAATTATAATTAAACTTTAAATACACAAACTTCATTTGGAGAATGGGATTTTTTCACTTATAAATTAGGAATTTTAATTTTATGAGCATTTGAGAATAGCGCGTTTGACTATTTTACACCCTGGAAAAAGGAGAAACTAAACACAAGGTAGGGTCACAAGCTAAGCAAAACATAAAACCAGAAGTGAAGTGAAGGTAAATGATTAGGGTTGTCAGGACAATAAGTCACCAAGTTAACTATCTAAGTAAGAGATTAAGAAATGTAGAAGTTATAGGCCTCAGTGCCAGCAGGGTCAGTGGCATTAGAGCCTAGCCACTGACCCTGCTGGCACTGACTTTAATGCTCATCACACTAGTGTGATGAGCATTAAAGTCACCAATAACAACATTATTGGCACAAGGGTAAAGAGAGAGGGTATGGTTAATTTGATCAGAAATTACATATATAAAAGAGTGCCATCTTGGGAAAGAGAAAAATAAAGAACAAAGAAATAGGTGGTAGAGTGAAGAGGAGCTTAGTAAAAGCACATAAAAGAATAGTCAAAAGATTTGAATCTGATTTCATGATAAATAGGTGAATTAATGAATTGCATGCATGTATGCAATTAATTCACCCCAAGGCAAGCATGCGACTATTGGAGTCTTTGCGAATCAAAAGATAGTACCTATCAACACTGAGATCTGAAGAAGGAATAACGGAATTTGAAATAATCTCATTAAAAGCAAGCAAGTCTGGTAAATTTTGCAAGAGGTAAGATTCAACTGAAAATTGCTTCACAGGTTACAAATATTTGTCAAAGATACAGTAAAACAGTTAAGTGGTGGGGAAGGTTTTTTATGGTTTAAATTTTGGGTTACTTTTGGTATGATTTGAGTTTTATGAGAATTTGACTCATTTTTAGAGTACAGCCTCCTAAGGATTGAGCTACGCAGTTTACTTTGTCCTGTTAATTAATTCGAAGATGTAACAAGGCTCTTTATGTGGCCTCGACAATGTGCACCAAAAGCATGAACAGGGACACCATCCATGCACAACATGGCACTGTTAATGCTCTGATATTTTGCAGCTGTTGATAAAATCATCTTCTCTGAAAACTACCACAGAGTTCAGAAAACCTTTTTACCAGCCAGCCTCAACTATTAAACTGAGTTTTAGTGCTATTCCTTCATTAGGAGATAACAGGAAGAGTTGCTTAGCCACTATCAAGGAGGCAGATTCAAAAACTTATGAGTAGAGTTATGAAGATCCAGCATTCATCATCCTAGTCAGTAAACAGTGTAACTCAGGTTTACATCTATGCCAGCCTAATAGATGAAGAAGGGGGGTTGAGGCTGGGTAGCAGAATTGTTCTGCTTACCCCTTTTATAAGACAATAGCTGGATGCAGTTAACATCTGCCTATATGAGTATTATATCGAAACACTATCTTTAGCTTTCAATCAACCAAGCACCCGAAGGCAGGGAATTTTCAAATCAGAGTTTGTTTCTCCCAGCCTTTGCCTAAAAAAGCATACCAGACAAGGCAGCAAGGCACGGGGCAGGTAGTACTGGGTTACATGATACCAATAGGTTTTATAGTTGGTGTAAATAGTTAGTTACTGAGCTCACACTTCATCAAAGATTTAAACATAATGCAATCATACATAAAGTAGTTTACAATTGAGTTCACACCACGCCTGATGTTCAGGCAAAATACAAACATAAATAAAATAACTTGTGGGTGAATAACACAGCGCCAGTGGTTCAGGCAAAACACAAACACATAAAGTAACTTATGCCAAAGTCTTTATCATTATCTTTATTATATATATAAACATGGAAGTGTTTGAGTTCAGAAATAAAATAAAACTAACAAAAAATTTTTAAAATGGTTGCTTTGGATGTATTCATATAAAAACTGACAAAATACTCTCTCTTTAAATCTTTGAAAAACTGACATTGAAAATACACAAACACTAAAACTCAAATTTATGACATGATCTAAATGTTAATAAACAATAAAATTAATGGTTTAAAGCCCTTTTAAAAGACACTTGTTCTTATTTGACAGATTCAAAAAGATGGGTCTTCAAAGATTGAGATCTTCAATTATTTTATTTTTTAGAATTTTTTTAATTTTTAATTTAGGTGCCCCAAGAAGTCCTTACGGTCTTATCACAGCTCAGCGGATGAGCATTTAATAGGAAGTTCATGCCTCCTTGCTAACCAATGTCGTAAAACTTGCCTAGAAGTAGAGTTTAAACCACCGATCCTTTGTTTCTGAGGCAAGTGCCATGACTGCTCGGTTTATTTAACTAACTATAGATTATTTTAGACAATAAAATGTAATCTTTGTTTTTATTTTTAACGCTTTCCAGAGTTCCAGAGATATAACACTTTCCAGAGTTTTCCAGAGTTCTTGAAAAATTTTCTAAGTTTATTTATGGAGTATTTTTATTTAATTTGACTTCTTGTTTAGTGCAATGTGATGGCTAATTTAAATTTTTTATTTGACTTATAAATTTTGGTTCTATCCTCTTATCATTTCACTTAAGTATGATTGATATTTTAGTTAAAGATTTTCACAATTTTTCAGTTAAATATGATTTTCATTTAAATTTTAACTTGTGTGTATGTGCATATTTATTTTATATAATCATTACTTTTTTTAGTTATTATTATTCTATACTGCATTGCTTTTTATATTAAGAGGAAGCAATAATCGGCTTGATGAATCAGATAGAGAACGAGACAATAATGATAGGTAAGAGTTATTGAGAAAAAAAAGAGAGTTATTGACAAAAAAATAAGATACAATATATTTCCAGCACAAATTTGATTTTAGAAATTACATTCTGAATGTCTTTTAAATATTTTTAAATAAATTTGACAGATAAGTTAAACTCAAGCATTAACTTTAATTTTGATAAACTTAAATATATTTTTTAAATCAAAATTAAGTTAAGTATTTTTAAAATCTATATTTATTGTATATTTTTTTTATCAGAGTAAAATTATATACTTTTATTAAATGAAATCATATATTTTTTATCAGAATTAAATTGTTTTTTATATTTGCTTCAAGCTTAAAAAATCAATCATTACAATAAAATAGAAACAAAGTAAAGATAAACTTTTAATTTTATTTCAATTTTTTTCATTATTAAATAGCGCTTATGTCAAACATAATTGTCATTTAAGCTTTTGTAGCAAATATTTTTACATAAACGTCATTCAAAAGTTGATGTGACATTTAAATTAATTACTTTTTTTATGTTATTGCTTATAGAATAATTTAAAAATTAAAAAATGATAAAAAGTCGCTTCAACAAAATCGTTTTCTGAAATCTATAAATATATATATCTTTCAGAAATCTATATATATATATATATATATATATATATATATATATATATATATATATATATATATATATATATATATATATATATATATATATATATATATATATATATATATATATATATATATATATATATATATATATGTATATATATATATATATATATATATATATATATATATATATATATATATATATATATATATATATATAAAATTAATAACATAAAGTACAGTGCTCGAAGTGAGGCGGAATGCGGCGGTATACTAGGGTGTTCCAAAATTATTTTTTTTTTTGAAAAAAGAATTGTGAATTTGGTTACTAGAACTTGCTTACAAGGTTTATTATGACCGAATATAAAAGAATTTTTAAAAGACCTTTTAAAAGAATTTAAAAGGTTTTAAGTACTTGGTGTAAAACTTAGTTTTTTTTGAAAATTTTTTGTGATGTTTTTTAAATTAACTTAAATAAAGACTTCTAATTAATAAAGCAATTTCTTTCTGTTAAACATTTATTATGATAAAGATTATATGCATGTTTAAAATATGTATGTTTAAGAATTTTGGAAAAATTCAAAAAATATAATGAGCTCATTAAATCTGATTTAGCTGTGTTTTAGTTCAACTTCTATTTCTGTCTTTTTTTTTATTTTGGTTGACATAATAAAGTCTCAGATCAACTTTATATTCCTTTCTGCTCAATCATTAGTGACTTCCATATTTTTTGGAAACAATTTAAATTTATCCAAAAAAGAAAAGTCCCCTTTTACAGCTAACTCAATCTGGGCATGGATAATCTAGGCTTGGTGAAACAAGATCCAACTCTGATTACCAACTAAATCTAAGTGTTTTAGACGATGTGATTACAAGCATATTATGTTTACCCTTTATGAACTCCCTTACCCTTAGCTTACCCTTTATGGAACTGTAAACTCTAAGAGTTTCTACTGTATCTTAATCTCAACATCATTATTAACTAAAGACATAACAACAAGCTGTTGACTTTAATTCCATTTATGATTCTGAATGCTTTTCAGTAGTGATTGAGTAAGCTTTGTCTATTTTTTACTTAAATCAAACACCTCTTTAACTGGTGCTTTAATGCTCAAAGACCTTTTAAAGAACCAAGGACAGTATGTCAGAAATATAAATAATCTCTAACACAAATAGGCAATTTTCCAGCTCACTTTTTTCAGACAATCTGAATCATTTACCTTCTCTACTTGACTTTTGTGCCTTGTTTCTGATCCTAGTCAATACTCAGTTTCACCATATTCACCCTTAGGTGTTTCTGATCACTGTTTGATATCTCTAAAACTATTATCTTCTTCATCATCAGAATGCCCTTATCATCATACCTCTTACAACTACCTTAAAGCTGACTGGGACTCTTTCCATGATTTTCTTCGTGATGGCTCTTGGGTAGAAATCTTTCATCTTCCTGCTGACAAATGTGCTTCTTATTTTTTTTCTTGGATTCAGGCTGGCATGGAATTTACATTGATGATCTCCCTGAAATTCTCACATCTAAGGTGGCATTTTTTGTGGATGATACTACCATTTATTCTTGTCTTTATAAGAAGCCAAAACTCTCTGATTGTTTTAGAGAGGGCATTTGAGCTTGAACAAGATCTCACTTCTGCTACAGCAATGGGCTATCAGTGGCTGGTGGACCTCAACTCACTTTTTTTGGATAATCGTTATTGCAATAATATAGATTTTTCTATATTTATGAACATTAGTCTACTCAATGAGTCATTTAGCCTTTTTCTATTAGGATTTTATCTACTACTTGCCAGAGTCGGTATTTATAAATGCCAACCTAACTGCTGAACTAAAAGTGTTTGAAGTCAATTAACATTTGCCAACCTCATTTCTATGTTTAATGGTAACCTCTTTGTTTCAAATTTTTTTTGCTGACCTTTAACAGTTTGAGGTCAGATATTTTTTGCTGACTTTTTTTTTTCCAAATTTCGAGGGTTGTATATTACAAATACTATTTACAAAATCAGTTTATAATTTTCTCTAGACAAGCACGATTTTTTACTCTCGTTATGAAACTAGCAAGCGCTATTTGTTGCACCTGGAAGGCCTTTTATGGGCAAGTTTCACATGCATGGAGCGATTGCTCCCACTTCATCACAAGGCCTGATATATATATATGTGTATATATATATACACTCATATATATACTCTTATATATACATATATTTATATATAATCTTATATATATATATATATATATATTATATATATATATATATATATAATATATATATGTGTATGTATATATATGTATATATATATATATGTATATGTATATATATATATATATATATATATATATATATATATATATATATATATATATATATATATATATATATATATATATATATATATATATATATATACATATATGTATATATATATATTTATATATATATATATATATGTATTTATATATATATATATATATATATATATATATATATATATATATATATATATATATATATACATATATGTATATATATATATTTATATATATATATATATATGTATTTATATATATATATATATATATATATATATATATATATATATATATATATATATATATATATATATATATATATATATATATATATATATATATATAACGCTCAACTCGTTTCTCCGCGCAGCGGCTTTGCTGGTCAAGGTTCGTGTTTCGGAGTTATAGAGTTGAGAGAGGGTTATAACCACAAATAAATAGCCTTCTCGTCTGTAGTGGCCTTCTCGGCCTTGAGGAGGTGAATTAAAATTAAAATATATATATATATATATATATATATATATATATATGTGCATAAACATTTAGGTTGTTTGATTCTCAAAACAATGCACGTGGTGGATATAATGATGGAAAAATGTACTATCTTGCAGGATCACAGCTCTCAATTGAATGGACTAATCAACATTCTTGTGGTGGACCCAATGCCAATTGTGAAATTATTGTTCAGTATATGTGTAGTAATGATCTAAGAGACGGCACTTCAACCAGGTTTTTTATTAAAATACCTAAATAACATTTAGTTTTTTTTAGAAAAAATAGTTAAATGTTTAAATGTATTTTCATTTGTATTTATTTTATGATTGAAAATTTAATTCTAAACTTTGTACCATTAATGTATAAATAATCTTCAAGTATTGCATAATTCTTAAAGACTTACTCTTTATTTATAAAATATGGTTTAAATAAAATTAAAAAAGGTTATAAGAATGAAATTATGAATGTAAAAACAATATTCTTTTAGTGCTGCATTTTAATGCAGTTGGTAAAAACTGTTTAACATTTAACAACACATTTTTAAAGTTTTTACTTTTTAGATTTTAAACCATTTTTACAGTAATATTCATTTAATTATTATTCATTTAATTTAAGATTTTATTTTTTAATATTCATAAATATATTATATTCATATTCATATTATATTAATATAATCATAAATATATTAATAACCCAACATCATAACATGTTTACCAATAGTTAATTATTAAAAATTATTTTTTTAATTATTATTCAATATTATTAATAATATATTTTAAAAGTACATAACAGCATGGCTCACTTTTAAATGTAACATTTAACTTCTATGCAATAAATTATATGAAATAAATTATATTCAGTAAATTATATTTATAATTTTTTTTTCTTTATTCAGTACAATTCCAGATAACAATAAATGCAGAGAAAAGGACTGTGACACTGATACAAGGTAACTTTAAAAGATATATATACTTAGTTTGCTAAAAAGTTTTCAGAACTTTATTATAAAGTTATAATAAGATAAGGAAATAATGAAATAACTTCACCTAAAATTGTCTTTTATTATGACCATTTTATATAGAGGAGATCTGGGGTAGTTGCCTCTGTTTTTAGTCTTTGAGTTCTGTGGCCCTTACAGCACATTTTTTTGTAAATAAAAAAGTATGAGTTTATTTTTGATTTATTTAATATTTGATTTACTATTTAAAAAAAAAATGAGGGCTTTTCTGTATCCTCAAAAATAAAGTTTCTTTTCTGCCAACTTACTCCACCCTGGGGAGTAAGTTTTTTTTTTTGTGAAAAAATAATTTTTTTAACATTTTAATATTAAACGTTACAAATTAAAAAAAAAAAAATTATAAATGTTTTTATTTCTATAGTAAATACTATAAGCTAGCCCTATGAAAATTTTACAAACTTACCCCAAAAGCCTTTTTTCCAATAAGTAAGCCAATAGGTCATGTAAATTTCTTTTAAAAAAACTTTTAAAAAAAAAATCAGTTGTGACTGGATTTTTCTTTATTAAGTAAAAAGATAATCCAAAAGTTATTTTTTGTCCTAAAAACATAAAAATTCCAATATCTTCTATGTGCATGCACAAATCTTTACAATAATATATTAAAAGATAAAATGGTAAAATGGGATGGTTTCACGCTATTTTTGTTACTTTCTAAAAAAAGGCTCTAATCAATAATATTCAAAATTTTCTTTGAAAGCATACATGAAATAAATAAAACTTAATAAATAAAAGGCACTCAAAATTTTAAGTTTTAAATGATAAAGCCCAATCCTTGTTACTCAAGCCATCACGGATTGTCTTAATCAAACTGTCTGTCTATCTGTCTATCTGTGAGTCACAGAATTCTGCCACTCACTGTACTCGCCAGACTTAAGGTTTATAATATGGTATTTGGCTTCTTTTTTTAAATTCAATTCACCTTCCTTCCTTAAGCTCCAGAGGAACCAACACAGTTGAGGAGGCCACTTTTTTTGTTTTGATTAATTTTATTTTAACCCTCCCAGAACCCCCTCCCCCCTCATCAATGATTTCATTTTGGTTCATTTAGTCAGCAAACTCGACCTTTTTTGAGTAGTCAGTTGGTAATGTTGACCCTTTCAACAAGTTAGTCTGTAAACTCAGAGAGTCAGTCGACAAATGTTGATAAGGCAGTCGGCAAATTTTAAAAAACAAGGACTCGCGGCGGCCCTGACCACCCAACAAGCATTATTAAAACACTCCTTCACACAGTTAAATTAAGAATGTCTGCCATGTCATTAAATGAATTTGTTTTTAATAAAGCTATTGCACCTTACAGAAAGGCATTAAAAAATTGTAAACTAAAGTACCAATCTCAGATTACCTTAAATAAAAAATCCAAAAACCCCAAATGAAAAAAGACTGAATTTAATACATACAAATATAATTTAGTGCTTGAAAATTAACGAATTTGTATTCCTTTTAATACAATAATTTAAAACAAAATCTATATATTTTTAAAGTGAAAGTGCAAATAATTAACATTCAAATTACCAGCTAATGTTAATAGTTAAAATTAACTCCAGCCAAAGATTTCTATTCAATTAAAAAAAAAAAGTTTGATACCATTCAAGTATTTTAATTTTGAATTTTTTTTTTTTAATATCCAAACAATTTTTGTAAAATGTTTAAAAAATTTACTTATTTTTTCTATTAATCAAGGAATCAGACAAAATATATTTGAAAATACATTTTTAGTAAAAAAATAAATTGTTATATAAATTATATTGTATATAGCTTATATTTGCCCACATCTCGAGTTCGCGGTACCAGCCTGGTCGCCATTTCTAAAACATGACATTAAAACACTATAAAAAGTGCAAAAGCGTGCGACAAAAATGGTTGCACTAATAAAGCACTTACCATCACCCAAAAACTGCAAATATTGGGTTTAACTACTCTTGAAGACTGCAGAACGCGAGGCGACCTAATTCAACAATTCAAGATCACTCGTAACATTGACGAGGTCCATTTTCACATACTACAGGCACAACACTTAGCTAAACTGATTTACTATCTTTGAGGTCACAGTTAGTGCCTTGAACTAGGGGTGAGCAAAACCGAATATCTGGTCCGGTTTTTAAAATCAGATTTTACCAAACCGGTCCGGTTTGTTAAAATCTGTAGCTGGAACTTCCAACTATGGGTTAGCAAACCAGATATTCAGAATAGACTAATTGTAATCACCCCTAGTTAAAACTTCTAACTTGAAAGTTTTAACTAGGTTTAAAATCTGAATCCAATTTCAGTAAACTGGACTGGATATCTGATTTTGCTCACCCATAACTGGAACACTCTCCCAAAAAAGACCAATGCATAAAATATCAACTAGCTGCTTTGTATGCCGCACAAGACTGTCAGAACAGCGGAGCCTGATGCTGCCCCTCTTCATCGATCATTTATTTTTATTTTTGGCTTTATTTTTTGTTGTAATTTTTTGACTTATTACTGAATAAAATAAACTAAACTAAAACTAGACTAAACAAAACTATGAGTTACTTAAGTTACATAAAATGAAGTTTTTCTAAAAATGTATTTTCAAATATATGTTTCGTCTGATTTGTTGATTAATAGAAAAAATACATTGATATTTTATTTAAAAATATATTTATTCATTATTAAAATTAAATTTGTTCTTAGCAATGAGTTCCCAAATAGTGGGAAAAGCTATGAGAAAAATTAATAAAAAGATTGAGTTAAAAAAAAGTACAGTTGGAAGAGTTAATGATTTTAATTACATACAACAAGTACAAATAAGAACAAAATAAGAACTTTACCTTCAAATCTTTAAAGTTAACGACGTTAAAAACAAACTATTGCACATTTTACATCTCTGCTCATTAAAATCATTTTAAAAACTGTTAATATTAGTTAACAGTAATGTTAAATGTGCAGCTATTTAAATTGAATACTTTACACGAAGAAAACAATCGTTTTATAAAGCACTGCTATAAAAGTTACAAATGTTACATAAAACAAGATTTTTACAAAATATTTTTTAAGAACAATATTAAAGAAAAAAAAAAGTGCAAATGCTCAAAATAGTAATTTTAAATTTATCTAAAAATCATTCATTCATATATTGCAATTTGCGGCAAAAACTTACAAGATGAAAAAAACAAACAGTTAAAAAACAAAATGTTCTAAATACAACAGTTATTATATTATTATTAAAATAGTATATTAAATACTTTTATTAAAATAGTAATAAAATAAGAGCTTCAATCAATTATGAATTATAATAGGATTTTTACCACCAGTAAAATGAAAGTAATCTAAATTAATATATATAGTTTACATACCTATATTTAATATTCGTCAAAAAATGAATTAAAGTAGTATATTGTAAACTATTTAAAACACGTTTTCAAAGATAAAACTATATTAACAGGCTTTCACAGGAAGGCGTGCGATTTCACGTCTTTATATGACCATGCAAAAAATAATGTTTTAACGATTTGACCACAGCTTTTAACATATTTTCAAAATTTAAAAATGCGCTACAAAAACTTACCTAAACTTATCTAAAAAAAATAGTAAAAAGAAAAAAAATCTTACCAAAAAAGAAAATAAAAAAATACTTAGTTAAAGCAAAAACACAAAAAAATAAATATATATATAATGAAACTAAAACAAAACTCATTAAGCTAAAATGCTTGTTTATTTAATTTACGCATTAAAAAACCATTTCAGTCTTTGTTTTCAACATTTGTATATATTTTTTATTTATTTAATATGTTTCAAAAGTTAAACGTTTTTCATAAAAAAATAATACATAATTATATTAAAAAACAACAACATTTTATTAATACTTTTTTTTTAAATTAATTAGAAGTGTTTTTTTACTTCATTAAAAAGCGTTTCGATAATATAAAATTATCTAAGATCAAACTTATTAAATTGTAACAGCTTTTTAAAACTTTTTTTTTAAAACAAAATTTTGTATATCTTTTGAAATGTATTAACTTTAATTATTCTTATATTTAAATTCGTTAAAAAGACTTTCGCAGTCGTAGAATGTCATGATTTATAAAAAGTAGAATGTCATCGTTTATAAAAAAAACAATTTTTTATTTTTTAACAATTTTAATAATAAAAATTTATTTTTAAACACTTAAACAATTTATATTTTATAAATTAAAAAAATGCTGCTGGAGTTACAACAAATAGAGTTAAGGCAGTGTGACAGAGAAGTAAATCAAAGTTCAAAACAATGTTCATTTCATCTAATCGAGAAATGATTCCTGATTACTTAGCAGAGTTCATGTGGGCACAAAGGTTTAAAAAACACGATTTTTTTCATTTTTGGGAACTATTGAGTTTGAAAAAATTATTGAGAAAAAATTTTTGAAAAAACTATTGAGAAAATTTTTTTTTATGAAACTATTGTTGATATTATATCTAATAAAAAACAAGAAAATCATAAATCAATGCAAAAAATTATTTTAGAAGTTTATAAGAACTTATATTAAGTTTATTTATTAAAACAAACTAATTTTGGTATATTTAAAACATTGCATATTTTATGCATATGTTATTTTAATTGCAAAATCGTCATAGTTAATAATAGAATAAGGAAGTTAATGACTTATAACTAATGGCTTTAAAACAATGATGTTTGCTCAAGAATATTATAATGCATGATGACAATAAAAACCAGGTTATTTAATAAACAAAATAGTTTTACAAACGAAACATAAGTAGACTGGTTAAAATAAAAAGGCGAATATTAGCGTTTTTTTTGTGTATTTTTTCAATACTTTAAGATTGAGTTAGAGCCCTTTACTTTGATGAAATTTGCTATTGAATACCATTTTTTTCGTTTTAAACGACAATCTTTCAGAATCTGCAATTAAAATTTGTAAATTCGAAGGTGGTGCGAAAGTGTATTAGGGCCAACATGTTGTGGGATTCGGACTGTACCTCTTGCTAATAAGTACTACCTTATGTCAAATATTGACATTATTGTTTGTTACTTGTCTAAGTTTTATGTGTAAAATTACTTTTTACATAAATTTTATGTTGTTTTTTTTTTTTCACTTTGGCATTACAATTATTTTTATTGTTATTTTGCAAAGATTTGGCATGCATGAAGACTCAGACTATTATATGAGGTGCAAATATACATCGAGAAATCAAGGATTGTTTACAGCAGATCAGGTTTAAAGAAAATTTTCTTGAAATTTATCAACATTTCAATGTTTTATTGCAATAAACATATTTTATTATGGAAAGTTTTATTCATTTTATTCATACTTAAATAAGAATTTAACAAAAGAAATAAAAAGAAATAACTTGACTAAGTCAAAAGAAATTTAAAGGCCAATTGAAATATGAAATATTAATATTTTATTTTACAGTATTTTTAATAACTTAATTTTTATTAAATTTTTTTTTTAATATTAAATTTGACATTTGTTTGATACAAAACATTATCAGTAATAGTAAAATCTAAAAAATATAAGTAGTAGTTCAAAACAACAATAATTTATTTAATAATATTAAATTAAATTTTATCAAACTCATCAAAAAAACACTTTGCAGTCAATGCTAAACTGTTACAAATATAAATACATCTGATTTTTTATTTGCAAATGAAATTTACAATTCAATTGTTTTCAAATTCAAAAGTTAAGAAGATTTGGACAAGTTTGTTGCAGGCATTAAAGTTTGTTTTCTAATAAAATTCTAGATACTAAATAATATCACTACCAGACACCAGTTTTAAGTGGCATTTAATAATTAGATTAAATTTACTGCAATTAAATTTATTTAGTAATAAGATACTTAAGTACTGCTGTTTAATTTATTTACTAATGAAATATTTTAGTACTCTTGTTTAAGTTGTTTAGTAATGAGATACCTTAATACTGCTATTTAATTTGTTTAGTTAATGAGATACTTTAGTATTGCTATTTAGTTTATGGAACAGATATCAATAGCTATAATCTTTTTTAGATAATTTTTTGTTTTCTGTAAAACAACTTTTATATTGTAACTTTTGCACCATAAAACAAACTCATTATACCCTCATGTTGTAAACAAAGCTCATCATAGCCTCACATTGATTCTTAGACTAAGGTTTTAAAAATGCCAGTTTTAATTTAATTTTTATTAACTCAACTAGCCTTTTGATGCATAACTAATTGGCAAATAACAGATGCTTCTTTAGGCAGTCATATCAATATATGTATCTTGTGTATTATATAGGTTGAACACAATGAAATTCCTTTAATCGTTATATACTCAAAAACTAATTGAAAGTTTTTGAAAATGAAAATGAAAGTTAATGTGTTGTCGTTTGATTGTAATGGTAATAAGGGTTGGTTATCATTTTAAAATTATTATCAGATTAAAATAAGTAAACAAATAATAATTTGAAAAAAGTTTGAAAAAATTGGCATGTGTTTCTCGATCCTCAGTTGGATTTATTTTGTGGGGATATGAAAAGATTCAATCTATTTAAAGAGAAGCTGTAAGTAGAAAAAAGAAAAGAATTTTATAATTATAAAGCAAAATCTACCATTCGTTTCATCAAGGCAAATCCATTATTGTTCTACACCATACATAAGCAATCCTGTGGTTTGAAATTTTTTTTAAATATTTGGTTCCAATGTTTTTGGCCTGAAATGGCTACAATCTAATACCACAGAAGTCTCTAGAATTGTATGAATAAAATGGTTTTGAATTTGTACCTTAGGAAGCAAATATTCCAAATTGTTCTGAGAAGAAAATTATTGAAAGTTATTGATCAGTTACAAGGAATCTTATTAAAAAGCTAGAAATTAGCTTCAGATAAAAAGTATTTTAAGAAAAATTGGATATCAGCTTCGAAAAAAGTAACTCAAAGCAAAATCCTGCACATGATATCAAGTACTTACAAAATACTTGGTTTCTATTTAAGCGCTCCAATAAAATTTTATTGAAATAAATAATTAAATAATTAAATTCATTGTATCAAAAAAATTACAAAAATCTGTCAAGTAGGTTTCAAGTAATTAACAATTAAAGGGTGCTGAATTTTATCAAGTTCAAGATTTATTCTACCATTTGTCTTCTGCTCCTATTTCTGTTTGGCTTAGGATATAAAAGTTAACAAATTAAAGGGATCCCCTAGAGACAGACTGATTTTCAGCTTGAGTTTATATGGATAACTTTTAGCCAAGTTGTTGATTTTTTTTAACAATTGAAAACATCAAGATTAATATTATTTGTGAACTTTTTTTTTTAATCTCTTTTGCCAAAAAACTGTTTTAAATTATCTTAAAATTTTTCTTTGTTCAAAGATCTATATTCAAATAGTATTTAAAAAATCAATTTTATAAAATCTTTATTTTTTTTATATATTCCTTCTTATTTCATAATGTTCTATATTTTATTTATATTCTTTCTTAGGAGTTTCAATTAAATTTCTCAATGAAATTTTTTTTATTGACATAGATTACAAAAGTGAAAACTTTTTATAACATGATTAAGTTATTTCTTTGATAAACTTTGATTATACTTATCTTGACATAAAAGATACAGAAGTGCATTAATCAGACCAGATTCTTTTTAAAAGAAAGAATCAAAAGGCTAGAAGTTTACTTTGTAAGAAATAATATAGCATTAAAATTGTTTTTAAAAGTTTGTTGTTAATATAAATAATTTGTTTTGGTAAGTTTAAATAACTCTAATTGTATTTTATAAAGTTGACTAACAATAGCAACACAACTTGTTTCACCAGTTGTTTTGGCACTTGTCTCAGCACTTCTCTTGGACTTTCTCTTAGCACTGGGGATCCCCAAAATACTTTTAAAAAAGTATTACAAAATGAAAAAATAAAAAATGAGTTCTAAAATAAATAATAATCTTGAGTACTGTTATTTAATGTTTAATGCGCTTAGTTACTGTTTAATTGGCTTAGTTACAATTGTTATAACAAATGTAATTAGCTAAAATATAATCAGCTAACATGTAATTAGCTATTTATGAAAAGTCTAATTTAATGCACTTAGTTATAATAACATCAAATTAAATTGTTTTAAATTTTTGATTTGATATTACAAAAATCAGGTAATATATTTAATTTAAGTTATTATTTTAATTGTTTAAATTGTTTTTTTTTGTTTTACAAATTTTATATCACTAAAGTTTATCACTAAATCTTGATACATTTTAATTAAATTAATTTAAAAAATTGAATATTGTATCTTATATAAAGGGCTGCATGCCTATGCAGTAGTTATGTTGCGGGCCACAGGCTATGTGGTAGCTATATATTACCTTTATAGCAGGTAATGTCATAGCTTCTTTATAATAACTAAGTATTAGGTGGGTAGCCTGTGGGCTATGTAGTAACTATGTAGTCAACATTTCTGATTGGTTTTTATGGATCAATCAGCCTTTAATAGGAAAAAATTTAATCATAATTATTTGATAGCTCAAACCAGCAGTATGAGTGTTTAATCTGATATAGCCACATGAACTGGAAATTCATTATACCCAAACATGTCTTAAATGCAATTTATAGTTTGTTTACAACAATTTTCAGTTACATGTTTGCAACACAACATTCCATTTGGTAGGAAAGTCATTTTTTTTTTGGTAGCAAAGACTGATGTTTAAGTAGCATGTTTAAAATGTTCATTACATAGGCAATAGTTGCAAAAGTTGGCACTAACTAAAAAATTGAGAGTGCATGGTGGGTAAGGAGAGTTGTTACAATAGCTATTAAAACACGGTAGTGGAATAATACCTGTCAAAAAGGAAAATTCTTTTAAACAGTGTATCAGTGCTCGAAATAGCGGCCGATCAACGATCAATGGTTGTCTACTTTTGGAAAAAATGATATTTTGATCTCCTAAAGTCAATCCTGAACGATCAAATTTGAATTGCTGTCAAACTTTATAGTCAAACTTTATAATAAAAAATTCAAGAACATACTAAAACAAACGTCACAAAAAACCTTAAAAAGACAAAAGTAAAAACATCGACACAAAAACATTAAATGTAAAACATCTGTTAAAAAGATTTTACAAAATTTATATAAAAAAAAATTCTTTACCCGTTAATGAACATTTTTGATTGAATTGAATTTTTTTTTAATTAATTAATTTTTTAATAAATTTGCATTATTATTTAGAAACAATAACGTTTTATGTGAAAATTAAAAAAAAAAAAAAGTAAATAATGCGAGTTTATGATTGGTAGAAAGAATGACTTCATAAAACATAATTTATACATCTTAACATCAATTTTTTTTGAGCAAAATAAAATTGTTTTCTTCTATTGTTTCTTTTTAAAATAAATTATTATTTCTTTTCAGTAACCAAAAGCGAAAAAGTTTGATTAATGTTTAAATAGCTTTTTCATAGAACACGAGAGAAAGAAACATTTTTGCTTAAATTTGAATGAGTTATACTTTGATCTAAATTGCATGTTTTTTTCAATTTCAAATAAACTTTGAATTTTAAAAGCTTTAAATTTTAAAAGCTTTGAATGAATGATAACTTTGATATAATTTTCGAGTTTTTGTCAATTTTAAATGTTTTTACTAAACGATCGTTTTCAATGTTGCAAACAGTTGTTTAGTTTAAACTATAGTTTTAACTAAGTCAATGTAAAAAATATTTTTTATAAATATAATAAAAATATTTATATTGTAAATATAACAAAAACATTTTGTAATATAAATGTGATGATGATAGCAAAAATCATAAAGTTAATGACAATCTAATGATGCGCTAAAAAATATCTAAAGGTGATAAGAAATTTTTTTTTCTTAACGTTTTGAATAAATGACTTAGCATAATTGAATGACCAATCAAAAGTTAACTGGATCAACTTAATTAATTAACTTCTTCTATCAACTGTACATCTGTAAGTAAAAGTACTGTGCTAATTAAGTTTTTACCTGCAATAATAACATCTTCAACTGTTGTACTTGGAGGGTATAAATTATCAAGGTTTTCTATCTAATTTTCATCCTCTTGAAAGGGGTCATCATCTTCAAATGCTGGAGGGAACATTGTCTTCGAATTCGTCGCCAAATGGGCAGATTTCTGCTGATCTTCTGAAATTCCTGCTTTTGCAAAATAAATTAACAATGGTGGAGGTTTTCAATTTTTACCATGCAAGATCAAGCATTTTCATTGCATCTAAAATCAAAAAAACAGGAATATTTTTATTGATAGCTATGACGAGCTTTTGCAATGCGAAAGATCTGTAATTAAATTTCAAAGAGCATATAACTTCCTGATCCATTGGTTGAAGTTTAGATGTGGTATTTGGTAGTAAAAAAATTAGCTCAATAGATTTTAGATTATCAACCATCAGGTGTGCTGGGCAGTTATCTATTATGAACACTACTTTCTTCTTTTTATTGTAAACTTTGTATCCGTTTCAAATATCCACTGTTAAAACAGTTCGCTATCCATCCAACTTTTATTTTGATTTCTGTATCTGCAAGATAAGTGCATAACTCCTTTGAAGTAGCGACATTATCTGTTTTTTAAATAACTATTCATACTGTTTTTACAATTTTTTACTATAATTAGTGACAAAAAATTAAAAAATTAAACTTTTTTCATGTGTCCGCATAACGATTAAATTCTATTTCAATATTATAATGAGTTTTAATTGCATAAAGTTACAATCAAACTTTTTTATTCGAATTTTTTGATTCAAACATTTTCATATTAAAGTTTCAAATAAAAAAGAATTTAAAAATTGTTAAAAGAAAAGTTTCTTTAATAACACATTTGTTATTATGTTATACTGAAATAGATTAAATGGTTTATTGAAATAAATTAAATGGTTTATTGAAATAGATTAAATGGTTTATTGAAATAGATTAAATGGTTTATTGAAATAAATTAAATGTTTTATTGAAATAAATTAAATGGTTTATTGAAATAGATTAAATGGTTTATTGAAATAAATTAAATGTTTTATTGAAATAAATTAAATGGTAATTTGATTTACTTTTTTAATAACTATTTAAAAAATAAAATTAAACAAAAAATATGGTGAAAGTAATTTTAATACATAACTTTAGTTTTGTAGTTAACATTTTTTTATAAAAAAAAAACTAAGCACACACAAGCCAGTACTAGGAAGGCACAAAGGCCATTACTAGGGAGTTTCTTATTTTAATAGTCCTTTTTTACTAATTTATTACTAAAAAATTTTTTAAGAGTTTCTTATGAGTTATATTTATAACTCATAAGCAACTCTTAAAAAACTTTTAGGGCTTCTACCACCTAGTTATGAATTTTTTTTTTAACATTGGGTAAAAAGACTACTTAATATTTTTAGTATACCTAGTATTTTTTATTCATATGCTCAGCAATGTCATTTTGGATATACGGGATGCTCAGAAAGTTCTACAAATATCTTAAAAATGGTTTAGCTATGATGGCATCTTGGTTCGAGCCATAACTAAAAAATATATTCGCCTGTCAAAAGCTTGAAATGGATTTAAATTCCCTACTAACAAAAGTGATGTAATGAAACTTCTGCGCAAAGACACCATAAAATTAAAAGTAACCAACAAAGTAAAGTTTACCATAATTGTTGATGAAGTTACTACTTAAGGAGGACAAAGATATTTTGGAGTTAACATTTATGATAAAGCTAACAATATCACATATAAAATGGGATTAATTCGAATTTTGGGTTCATGCAGTATGCTTGATATGATTGAAATAATGAAACAACACCTCAGTATTTTTGGAGTATTGATGAAAAAAAGATTTGGTTGCATCTACACATAATGTAGCATCTGTAAACAAAAAGTATATTTGAAATTTAGATGTTATTGGCTTAATCATGCTCTTTGTCTTGGAGTAATGACACAGCTTATAAGAAAATGATATGAAGATTTAGTACTAATGATATTGAGGACTTAAGTGGCACCTGTGATGATGATAATAATGAAAATGATTCTTTTGATGAAGTTTTGAAGTTATAAATGATGAGTGTGAAGGCGATATTGACTACAATGATTTACTTAAAAACTCTTTAAAAACTTTAATAAAATGCTAAGAGACTATCAATTTTTCGAAATCAAGTTTTTCAATAAAAAGACTTGTCTTTTCATTTTCATTTCAAGGTATATACAAATGTGTAGCAGAACCAATGATAGGTTTGTTTATACAATTATTCATAAGAACATTAATAACATAACCAGGTGTTAAAGTTAAAGAAGAAATAAGTTTATCAACTTCAAGAAAAGACTGCTTGAAACAACTTAGAATCTTTTAAATAATATAGACTTTGATATCTTGAAAAATTTAATAGAGGCAATGAAACCTACTAAAGTAGCAATACAGGATCTTAGCGCTCAACAACATTGAGCGCTGAAAAATTCATGTTTGAGAAACTTTCTTTAGTTAACATTGAAATGAGCAAAATATTTATTGATAGTTTGAGAGTTAAAGTTGATGAATGCCTGAATACAGATGTCATAAATTTATTATGCTGCAGGGCGGCCACAGCTCCTCTAAAGTCCTCTTTTTTCAAAAACCTCCTCTAAAATTCTCTATTATCCTCTAAAAAGTTAAAAATATCATAAAATCTCCTCTTTAACTCCTCTTTTTTATTATTTTTTATTTCTTGATGGTAGTATAATGTTTAAAATTCATGGTCTGCAAAATGCGCAAAGTCTGAAATGAGAATTGGGTTGTAAAAAATCAATTTTAGCAAATCCATGTCATCTAACAAATAATGACATTGTTGACCCCTGTCCAAACCCCAGTTATGTGGAAACAGGCGTTTAACATTGAAAAAAAAAATCCTCTAAAATCCTCTATTTTTATTCAGAATTTTGTAGTTTTGCAAAAAAAATCCTCTAAATTTAATGCAAAATTTCCTCTAAAATCCTCTAATATCCTCTTTTTCTTATAAAAATTTATGTGGATACCCTGTGCTGTCTAAAGAACTCTAAAAATAACCCCATCCAAAGATACAATTTTTGCAAGCATGTTGGCATCTTGAATTTTTAGTGTTTATGTTTATGTTATTGAAGCAACTTCCAGTAATCCTACAGATGACATCTTAACTTGACTAGACAACTTAATGTGTTGCTGAAGAAAAATGAATCACTAATAGTGTCTTATAAAACAGCTGTTCTTAAAAATTCTAAAACAGTAAAACAGCTGTTTTTTAAAAACCACTGTTTTCAGAAACCCTAACTCTATTAGATGTTCTTACAAATATACAGTCAGTTTAGGTTTTGGGTAAATACAGAAACTGTATTTCAAAGTCAGTTTAGGTTTTGGGTAAATACAGAAACTGTACTAAAGGTTTTTGTTACATCTTTAACGTAACAAAAACCTTTAGTACAGTTTGTTTTTTAATAAAAAAAGTCCTTTTTCTTTAAAAAAACAAATGACAAAAAAAAAAGCTTAAATTTTAGTTTTAAAAATGTATTTCAAAAAATTTAATTTCAAACATAAACTCCTTCTTTAGAACTTAGATGGACAAACGTCGCAGTACACTCGTCAAAATCCTGATGGTACACGTAGAGGTTATGAATGCCCTGAAGAACGAGATTACTATCCTTATTGGAGGCCAACGCCATGGAAGGTTTTTTTAACATTGATTACTTAACTCGATTTTTTAGTTTTTTTTATACTAGTGATTATTAATTGAAAAGAATGATAAAAAAAAAAATAATAATAATAATTAAAAAACTTGTAAATAATTGTATTTAAAAATTTATATTTATATAAAGTATTACTTAAGTACTTTCTGTTACTAAAAGATATATTTTTATTTGAAGGATATTGTGGTGATGACAAATGATATTAGTCGATGTAGTTGGTACAAACAAGAAAGTGAAAATGTGAAACCGAGATTCATTTGTGTTCCTCCAGTTGGTTATATGGATGCCCTTATCCGTAATAAAGTTAAAGATCCTTTGGGAATAACAAAAGAAAGTTGTGAGGTAAGATGTTTTAAAATTTTGTGAGGGTATGTGGTTAAAATGTTGAAAATGTTGAAATGTTGAAAATGTTGTTATATTGAAAATTAAATTCATTAGTTATGTTTTTAATAATAAAATGTAAAAAAAAAAGAATATATATTTTGGTAACTTGAAATCTTTAAACTTTAAAAAATAAAAATGGTAAAATTATAGTTATGTTTTATAATATTATAAATATTATATAAAAAAATATTATCTATTTTTAAATATAATATGTGTGTATATGTTAATATATATAATAAATTGTATCTAAAAAATATCATTCCTTACATCTTAAATAAAATAAAATTTGTTTTGCAATTTTAAATTAGTTCTTTTAATCAATTTTTTTTTTGTTTGTTTTTTAAAGTTGAATAAAAACCAAGTTAAGGTAACACCAAAATAAAAAACAATCAATATGATGCATTTATTTTGCCTTTGGTATTATATTTAGATATGCTATATCGGGTTATTTTATATTATATATATACTATATTGGATTCATATTTTATTATATTAAAGTGTGTGATCGCACGCAATTATCTGACCACGCAAAAAATACTTTTTTTTGACAATTTGACCACAGCTTATAAAAAGTTTTCTAAATTTAAAAATGCGCTAAAAAAAATTTCTCAAACTATTTTATATATATATATATATATATATATATATATATATATATATATATATATAATATATACTATATTGGATTCATACTTTATTGTATTAAAGTCTATGTATGCATGCAGGGGTGTGAATCGTAAAAAAAAAGTACCGACAAGAGATAAGCAAAAAAGATACTTTTAGGTTAGCATTGCTGATCTTAATTCTTAGGGCTTTGTATGTATGTATAACCATTTACTTGAAATATCTTCAAATAAAGTTTTTTTTTTTTTTTAATATTCATGCACTATATATTATTAAACAGTTTTTAAATTTGTCAAGAAGACTTAGTTTCTTTATAGTAAATTATAGTTGCAGAATTAGGCTACTAACTGACCGGTATAATTTACAATATCTGGAAACAAAACCGAAAACAGCACTACTGTTCATTATGATTTTTTTTTTTAATATATACAAAAACCAAATTTTTTTTTAATATATACAAAAACCAAATGATTTGAAAGACCTTTATTGCGTATTATTTTAATATTTGTTATAAGGTATTTTGTGTAATTAACTTTAATATAAATTCTTTTAAGATAGAAGATTTATTAGAGTTTCTTTTTTGTTTGTATATATGCACTAGCGAATAGTGTTTTCATTAAGAAAATAGCGAATAGTAATTTGTTATACCAAAGTTTAACAAATAATGTTTGTTAAATTTATAAAATATATCAAGTATTTTGTATATAATAATATATAATATATAAAATATAGATAATATATAATATATACTATATACTATATAAATAAAATCAAGTAATTGGTTAAATAAATAGTACTCTTCATTAAGTTATATTCATTTAACGAATAGTAATAACACTATTCAGAATTTTTGTTTTTGTAAAAAGTGGTGTAGTGGTAGAGTGCTCGCTTCATAAGCGATTTTTTTTAATATTTATTTTCACAATGATTGATATATTAAAAAAAAAAAAATTAGACACTCTTTTTATATATATCTTTTTAAATTTAATAAAAAAACCCATTAAAAAAGACTGATTTTTTTTTTTTTAATTTAATGAAGTTTTTATTTATCATTATAAAAAAAAATTAAGAGGGAATCCTAAGAAAAAGAAGACTTACATATATGATACACATTTCTTCACATTCAGATTTCTTATACTATTTAAGCCTCTTAGTGTATTTTATAAGTAAGGCAGACACACATATATACATAGTTTTTAAGCTTCAAATTTGTTATTCCGTATACAGCCTTAATTGTTTCATATTACCTTTCTATTTCATTACTTTGTAATTTGAATACTTGTTGCTTTTTAACATTCAGCTCAGTGCACTTAGGTCTACCCGCCCCCTCCCTTTTAGTCTACTATCGAATCGGTCAAATAATGGTAAACTATTAATAATACATCTTTTGCTTGAATTTTGTGCTTTTATACTGGACATCTGTCCAACACTTTTTAAGAATTTTAAGCTGACACAATCTAATATTACATATATAGCTCAGAATGTTATTTCACTGATTATTAAAACTCAGAATGCAATGATTCTAAATGGTAATACCCATGAAGAAGAACAAAGTATAATACTGCCTAAAGATATTTAAAGCGTACAATGATAACTGCTGTAGTAGAAGGACTTTCTGTCAACCAGCACCCTATATCATAAGTAGTGTTATAGCTATCTCAGGAGTAGAAATAAATGATTTTGTTTTATCTGAATCATCAGTCACAAGAGAAAGATTACTAGTGAAAGTGATTGGGAAAAGCTACTAGGCATTCCTCATATTGAGTCAGGTGCTGTAAAAATGCACTTCAAAGTAGTTTACAATCTAATAGAATCTTATGACTCAGGAAGCAGTAATATCAAATCATATACAGTGTATAATTTTTGATACTACAGCTTCCAACACAGAAAGTACCATATAGTAATAACTAAAATGGCACATAAGCTGGGCAGTCACTATATTTCCTTGACTGTAGACATCTTGTATTAGAAAGACTTTTACCACTTTAATAAAATTTTTCCTGGTAGTGAAATGTCTGGACCAGACAATCAGCTCTTTAAACATCTAAAATCATTAAAGGCAGTTTCTCAAAAAGAAAGGTTCATAATTTGTATTCCTGGTATGTTGCATCATGCAAGAATTATAGCTAAATTATTACAATTCTTCAAAAGCTATCTTAGTAAGTATTACAATACTTTAGCTATGGTTCTTAAATTATATTTACTGTTAAATTATATTTACTGTTAGAAATCATTTTAAACTTATCACTTTTCGCAAAACCTAAGATATACCAACTTGAACATGCTATGGTCAATAAAGAGCTTTTTCACTCTATAGTTTTTGTACAAGATCAGTCTCCGTCTCTTAGTGCTCTAGTAACTGAGCAATCTTGACATATCTTTGATCTTTGATAAGATTAGACATAGATTTGGAAAAAGTGACTTGCAGTGGCTTAAGATCTCTTCATGGTTCTGGAAGTTCAACTATTTTTGTCTTGAGTTTGAAATTTTATTTAATTCCTTGTTGTGGTCAATGACTCATCAGAGAGGGCCATTGAACTAGTTAAAGAACTGACTGGAAAAGCAACCAAAGGGAATAAAAGACAGGATTTGTTCTTGTTTAATCATTTTTATTTGTTCTTGTTTAATCATTTTTACTGGTTAATTTTGTTTTTCTCACTTGTCCTCTTGTCCTTCCCTTTAATATACTTTTCTTGAAAGAAAGGTATATTAAAGGAAGATCCACCTTACTATACTTCACTATCTATTAATCACTTATCTATACTTCACTAAGTTTGATATCCAAAATAATATAGCATATTTTAATAACTTATTTATAATTTGACTAGTTAAAGTGGATTTTGTAACAAAAGAGTCTGTAGAAATAGGGAAATTTTTTTTATTTGTCTACTTTACTACTTTTTCTATATTTTTTGTTATATTTTCTGTATATTTTTTTTCACTAATTTTTTTTTTTTTTTAACAGTCATTGTGAGAATAAATATACTAAAAAAAATTAAATTAAATAATGTTGATGGGTACACATGGGCCAAGAAATGTCAAAAAAAGGTTTAAAAAAAAGTTTGGGGCTGTCTGCCACCTTCAAACTTTTTTTAATTTAAAAAATATATATATATGTATTAATATTTATTATTAATAATTATACATAATATATATATATATATATATATATATATATATATATATATATATATATATATATATATATATATATATATATATATATATATGTATATATTATTTATACATATACATATTACATATTAATTATTTATACATATACATATTACATATTAATTATTGTTTTAATATATATATATATATATATATATATATATATATATATATATATATATATATATATATATATATATATATATATATATATATATATATATATATATATATATATATATATATTAGATATATATATTTCAAAAAATTTAGATATTAAATTGATTCAATTATTGCTTCAACTGATATGGATATTGTCATCATTGGTATTGATTAAAAATTTTTAAAAACAGATTCTAGAGTTGTTTGGTAAGAATCCAAAGGGATAGATAAAAATATTCTCTATATTGAAGGGTGAAAAAATAATTTCTTGGGTTGGTGGAAGGAGAACATAATGAGAGCTATGAGCATCTTGAGCAAGTGATTATTAATGCGCCTATTTATCTACTGGTTTCATGTTAACTAGCATAATCAAAAATAATATAAAAATGAAACTCAATGAATAGTCAATGAATAAAACTAAGTAAGTCATAATAAAGTAAAAATATCAGATATCAGACTATTTTTATAAAAAATGTGACTAAATACAATGTCATTACCAGAAAGTTAATAAAAATACAATAAAGCACTGAAAATCAAAGAGCTATAATCTAAAAATGTTCATGCTATTTTATTTATTGTTATTTAACTCCCCAAGACCAAAAAAGCCACTACAATCAAGGTTACTTTATTATGGCTACAACCCTTTCTCAACTTTTTAACTCTGTCTTGTTGCCTTGTTGAACAAGGTCGCTGCAAAGAGAAACAAGTTGAACGCAGTACTACCAGAGATGTGGTGGGAATCAAACTTGAAACTTCTTGTTTTTTAAGCAAGCGCTTTTACACTACACCACTACCGCATTATTATGTTAAAACCAGAGTTAAATATATGAAATATATGATTAAATATATCCTTCAAAATGAATTCAAAAGATCAATAATGATATTTTCAGGAACCTGTGACCTTCACTGCCATCATTTGTCAGGATCATGTCCTCACAACAGATCTCATTGTCATTTTTTAATTAAATTTTTTTAATTAATTAGTTTTTTAAAAAGTAGGAACTTTGTTGCTTATTGATATAATGAAATGAATGAATGAATTAATATAATGAATGAGATATAAAGAAGTGAATGAATGAATTAATATAATGAAGCGGTAATTGTTTAAGAATAGTAAGTTTAATGGTGCTTTACTTAGTGAGGGGTTATTAGGTTTTATTTTTGAATTCATTTTTATTTGATGTATGTTGTTACTTATCTGATATTTTTATTTAAAAGTTAAAGTTATCTGGTTAAAAGATTTTTTTTCTTTTTTTTTTTAGAAAATAGAGTTCCCAAAAAATTCTGGTAATAAAGCAGTATGGCAACAAATATCAAAGGAGACAATAAACCCTCCTGATTGCATTTTATCTCCTAAATCCAGAGATAATCATCTGGGAAACGGAATTGGTGGGTTTGCAAACACTTATAATTGGACAATACCAAATGACATCAACGAAAACTGTGCACTACGTCTGCGCTATAATATTTCTACTGGTGATTTTCCAACAACTGTTGACTCATCAAATAACACTGGTTGGTTATTAAATAACAAAATAATAAAAATAATAATAATAATAATTATAAAAAAAAAAATAACTAACATTTTTTAATTCATTCATTTTTCTAATAAATTTAAATTAAAACTAGAAAATCAATTTAATTAGTTAATAATAATAATAATAATAATAATAATAATAATAATAATAAAAACTTGCTAAAATAATAATACTAAGTATTCAAAAAATAGAATATACAATTTTTGTTTAAAGTTACATTACTTTTTTACATATATTTATTTTTTTATTTATAGGTATTTTTATATATTTTTGTTTATGTTTATTTTACCAATAAGTGTTTTAAATTTAAAACAAACTAAAAAAAATTTTGATTTTGTTAATTTAATTAATAACTTTTAAATAATTTCTTTATATTTTTATTCTATTATGTAGTTTTTATCAAAACAGTAAATTTATACATTAATTTTTTTTTTTTTTTTTTTGTCAAAAATCAGGTATATAATTGGTTATATATTTTTTTAGCTAACAAAATAAATATTGGTTCCTTGGTTGGACTTTCTAATGACGAAGCTTCTAAAAGAGGATATGTCTTTAACAACAAGGGTGTTGTTGTTCAACCATTGAAAACTGCAAATCCTAAAATAGGTGAAAAACTCCAATTAAAACTAGCTATTAATACTGCTCAATATGGTAGAACATTTCAAGACAGGTAAATTTAATTGCAGGAGGTACAGTTGTGTGTATCCTGTACTTTTTAATTCTATAAAAACTTGATCTTAAGTCATTGTTTTTAAAGTTATATAATTTTAGAAGTTAAAAGAAGAATTAAAAAAAATAGATTATAGAGTTAATCACTAAGGTTGACCTTGTTTCATTTTTTGACTAAATATTATTTTTAAGGAAAAAGTAACAGTAGCAAGTATATGGTTTAATTTAATAGATTTTCCTAATAACATGAGATAAATTAGGATTTTTTTTGTTTTTTATATTTTATTTTTTATAATTATAACCTAATTTTCATTTTTGATTTTATCTTTTATAAATATAATTTAATATATTTTAATTAAAATATATTTTCTAAAATATTAGTAAAAATTATTTTGTTGTTTGTTATTACTTTATTATTATTATTATTATTATTATTATTATTATTATTATTATTATTGCTATTATTATTATTATTATTGTTATTATTGCTATTATTATTATTTATAATAATTATTATAGAATTATTACTTTTCTTTAATGAAAATTATGAATTCATTAAATGCAATTAATATGTTGTAATATTTTGAGATCTCATGCTCAGACTATGAAGGCTATATCATCAGACAATAAATACTGAAAAAAATAAAAAATAATGTTATAATGTTAAAGGTTTATTGCGTTTTTTTACAAATTATATTATTAATAATTGTAATCATTAATAATTTTTAATTAATAGAATACATTTATTTTTATTTTATTCTGTTTATTAATATAATTTTATTAAATAAATTATATAGAATTGTTTCCCAGAAAATTGGATTAATGCACAACTGCTCAACATTTAATGATTGTTTTAAAAAGTTTTTATTTTTAATCATTTGAATGTTTATTCATTATTGTGACTATTTTATAAATTATATCTATTATAAAATATCTTTACAAGTTTTTTAAAGTTATAATAACTTGTATTGTTTTTAAAATAAGTCAAAATTATTAATTCACAAAAAAAAAAAAATGGGGGTATAGGCTTAAGTTGTTATAGGATCTGTTTTCAAATTGTTCAAAAGAACCATGATGTTATAATCAAATGAGGTCTAGTAATAAAAAACTTACTAGATTTTATTTACTAGATGCTAGGTAAGGTACAACTACTTACTTACTAATTTGCTCTGTTCCAAATTTGAACTAATAGTTAAAAATTAGGTCACATGACTTGAAATAGTCATCTGACTTAAAGTCAGATAACTATTTCTTTTGAAAGTAACTTTCCAGAAAGTAACACATTACTTTCTGGAAAGTTATATTCAAAAGAAATTCATGTTAGACTGAAAAGATGTAGTAGATGCATTAGATGACATTAAAATAAAATGACAAATAAAATATCACTAAATTAGTAGCAAAAGTAGTACCATAGTAGCACCCAAATAGGGTATTAAAAACAAGACCTGCAAACAATAAAAAATTTTCATGTTCTTAAGCATCAACATTTATTTTTATTTTATTCTGTTTATTAATATAATTTTATTAAATAAATTATATAGAATTGTTTCCCAGAAAATTGGATTAATGCACAACTGCTCAACATTTAATGATTGTTTTAAAAAGTTTTTATTTTTAATCATTTGAATGTTTATTCATTATTGTGACTATTTTATAAATTATATCTATTATAAAATATCTTTACAAGTTTTTTAAAGTTATAATAACTTGTATTGTTTTTAAAATAAGTCAAAATTATTAATTCACAAAAAAAAAAAAATGGGGGTATAGGCTTAAGTTGTTATAGGATCTGTTTTCAAATTGTTCAAAAGAACCATGATGTTATAATCAAATGAGGTCTAGTAATAAAAAACTTACTAGATTTTATTTACTAGATGCTAGGTAAGGTACAACTACTTACTTACTAATTTGCTCTGTTCCAAATTTGAACTAATAGTTAAAAATTAGGTCACATGACTTGAAATAGTCATCTGACTTAAAGTCAGATAACTATTTCTTTTGAAAGTAACTTTCCAGAAAGTAACACATTACTTTCTGGAAAGTTATATTCAAAAGAAATTCATGTTAGACTGAAAAGATGTAGTAGATGCATTAGATGACATTAAAATAAAATGACAAATAAAATATCACTAAATTAGTAGCAAAAGTAGTACCATAGTAGCACCCAAATAGGGTATTAAAAACAAGACCTGCAAACAATAAAAAATTTTCATGTTCTTAAGCATCAACAGCATAACTCAGTTGTAATGAAGCATCACACATATGAAACACTGCTTAAGCATCACACATGAAACACTTTAAAGCATCATACATATGAAACACTGCTGAAGATTCACACATATGAAACACTGTTAAGCATCACGCATATGAAACACTATGAAGCATCACACATATGAAACACTGCTGAAGTAAGTTTTAAGTGATCTTGTTTTTGGTTGCTTGTAGATGAGGGTCTAGAAACTTATCATAAAACTTACTGGTAACAGCTGTAAAATAAGTTTATTCTTACATGACTTTACTACACATCTTTTCTTGACTATAGAACATATGTTACCTTGACTACACAACATAACATATGTTGTGTAGTCAAGGTAACATATGAGATTTTTAAAATTTTCTGAGATAATAAAATGCATTCGTTACGATTATTAGCTCACACTTACATATATATTTTGTAGGGATTATATGCAGGTGTCTGTTCTTGTGTCAAAAAAGGAAAACATCAGAAATCAGTTTAATGCAAATTTAGTTTTCTAAAAGAAATTATCATCAATCAGTCATCAGATTTCATTTTGTTTTTGTACAAAAAAAAAAGCCATTTTTTCTTATTTTTTTCGAGTAATTTATACTTATTGTTTGAAAAAAAAAACTAATAATTTTAAAAATTCTTTTAAAGCAAAACTCTAAAGTATGTATCCTGTACTTTTTAATTCTAAGTTTAAAATTTATATAGTAACTCTGTGGTCACACCACAGAGTTACTATATAAATTTAAAAACTTAGCACAATTAGTAATTCATTGTTTAGATACTTTTTACTACTTTTTTTTGCTTAAGAAACCTCATTAGTAACAGAAGTATGCTCAGAGTAAGAAAATGTAAATATTTAAAAAAAATAACTAATAATTTTAAAAATACTTTTAAAGCAAGACAGTTATAATATTATGATTGTCTCGTTTTAAAAATTTAAGTAGGGTAAAAGAAAAATCTCAAAAAAGTTGTTACATTTATTCTGATGTGTGACCACAGAGTTAAATTTATTCTGATGTGTGACCACAGAGTTAAATTTATTCTGATGTGTGACCACTATATAAATTTAAAAACTTAGCACAATTAGTAATTCATTGTTTAGAGACTTTTTACTACTTTTTTTTGCTTAAGAAACCTCATTAGTAACAGAAGTATGCTCAGAGTAAGAAAATGTAAATATTTTAAGTAGAAGATGTGCAAAATGAAGTAGAGGTGTGCAAAATGAAGTAGAGGATAAAACAACTTGGAGGAGTAAAAATGAATAATTTTTTTAGCAAAATTTAAATTCAATAAAAAATCTTTCATGCATAAATATCTAAATGTAGAGTTGCCCTGACCAAGTCTACATGCATCAATTCTCTATCCGCTGATATTTTAGTATGATTTTGTCAGTACTATGCAGCCTTTTATCAGCAATAAAATGTGTATGTACATTTATGAACCAGCAACTATGTATCAACAGTAAAATTTGCATGTAAATGTATTTGTGAAAGTTGTGTACTTAAATAAAGAAAAAAAATTTTCATTTAAGTACACAATCGCCATTTTCTTTAGTAAATTTTTTTTTGTAACCTCTGTGCCATTACTGCAAATTTTTTAAATCAAAAATAATAATTTTTTTCACAAAACCTTTCTGATCCACTGTATGAATCATCCACTGACTCACTGTAGTGTAGCTAATTTTTGTACTAAGCAGGAAAGATTAATGCAAAATGCAGTGTTTAATGTGTGGGTTCAGTAGTCTTTGCTTAAAACGTTTTTCTTGCATGTCATTGATGATAGTGAACAAAAAAACTTACAAAATGTGATATCTTGTAACAAAGTTCTATGATAAGGTTATTGGGCTTTTCTTAAGTGTTTCTAATAAAATTTTAGAAAAATGAAAATTGACAAACAAGATTTTTTACTGGTTTAAAACTATTTATATTGATTTATATTAATTTGTCTCTTTCAACCAGTTTTATGATTTTTTTAAATTCAAAAAAATGTAGGGGTAAAAATTTTAAATGAGACTTTTTTTCAAATATTTTGCAAACTTCTGTAATTTTGAGATTTAAAAAATTTTTATTTTAGAAGCCATCAATTTTCAATTCGATCTGCTCCTGCTCAGTTGAGTGGGGCTCAGATATACAACTTAAATGTTCGTGGTAAACGAGGAAACATTGTTCAAGTATATCCAGCAGTTGAATATGATTATGTACCTAGTCGTCTTACTCTAAAAGCTTCAGATGGAATTCATATACAGTAACATTTTTTAAATTTATTTATTGTGAATTATTTGTTTTATATTTCAGTTTTATGTATTATATGTTATAAATTATATTAAGTTTTATCTTTGTAAAACGACTAAAATAATCGCAGACATGTTAATATAAAATCAAAGAAAATACGAACAAGCGTTAGATAAAGAATTATGATGTTGATTAAAATAAAATTTTGTTTAAAAACATTTATAAAAGAAATTTACATATATAATTAAATTTTTATTAATAAAAATAACAGATTGAATAACAATAGCAAAGTTTATTCTCATGAAAGCGAAGATTTTTTTAAAAGTGTAGGACTTATTGGGACAGTTGATGTTTACTAATTGATCAAGCTTTGGGACATTTTCTACAAATTAAATTGTGATCAATTTAAGTTTTCATTGTTTGAATGATGCAATACAAAAAATTTCTCAATGTTTGGTACAATTATATACAAACAGTTTATCATGTAGATGTATAATGCAATGCAAACAATGAAACAATGTACAATACAACAATGTTAGAAATAACATTGCAATGCAAACATTGAAAGAATATAACGTTATGATGTTTAATAAAATACAGACAATACTTTTGGTTTTTTTTATTACTCTGCGCTATAATCAGCTCAGTTTCATCTATAATATCATTAATAAAGATAAATTTTATTAAAATAATGATATATTGTTGTTGATAATATTGTTAATGATGTTAATTACTAATTGATTGATTATTAATTATTGATAATAAAGTTACTGATAATAGTTACAGCATATTGTTATAAGAAGATTTCCATTTGAAGACCACTAAAATCTCCATCTGAGTGATCTTCCTAGTTTTTCTTTTTGTTGATAAATTATATTTACCACATCTAAAAAGTGTCACCTGCTTATGAAAGTCTCACCTGCTTATGAAACAGGTTGTTATTTTGTGATAGCAATAGCAAGGTGACCTGGTGACAAGGTGATCAAATTGCATATTACCTGATAATTTAAAAATAATAATGAATAATTTAATAATAAAACCTGAATAAGACACATATTATTAAATACTTTTTTTTAAAGCATTTTATATATACATATATATGCATATATATATATATATATATATATATATATATATATATATATATATATATATATATATATATATATATATATATATATATATATATATATATATATATATATATATATATATATATATATATGCAGGGGCGGATCCAGCATTTTTTGGTGTTTGAGATAGCTTACTTCCAGACATGGAGCAAACTCCAAACATTTACATCTTTATACTTATATCAAGTAAGGATGGTTTGCAAAAAATTGCGATGATTGGAGCCTGGGAACAAAAAAGCCCCAAAATTTGAGACGTACCTGCCCCAAACGTGAGAGCAACAAGTTGATAAAATATTTTTTGTACTATTCTCAACAAGACTTATATTCATCAATAAATTTTAAATGTCATAGTAAAATATTTTAGCGCTCAAAAATTATGACCATATAAAAATTGTGACCCCTCGAATTGAGGGGGATTCAAACTTTACATGGTCATAATTTTTGAACGCTGAAATATTTTACAATGAAATTTAAAATTTATGGATAAATATAAGTCTTGTTGAGAATAGTACAAAAAATATTATATCATCTTGTTGCTCTCACGTTTGGGGCAGGTACGTCTCAAATTTTAGGGCTTTTTTGTTCCCAGGCTCCAATCATCGCATTTTTTTGCAAACCATTCTTATTTGATATAAGTATAAACATATGAATGTTTGGAGTTTGCTCCATGTCTGGAAGTTAGCTATCTCAAACACCAAAAAATGCTGGATCCGCCCCTGATATGTATATATTTATATATATATATATATTTATATATATGTATATATTTATATATATATATATATATATTTATATATATTTATATATATATATTTATATATATATATATATATTTATATATCTATATAAAATAATTATATGTTATATAATTGTTTTATTTTTTAGAAAAAATCTATTAGCTATTATTATTTCATATTCTTAATTTTTATTTCATATTTTTTACTTTTTTCACATTCTTTTTTATGCCATTTTAAGCTGTTTTAAATGAAATTTAAAATTCATGTTCAACATACGCATTTATGAGTTTTTTAAAGGTGGACTGGCTCAGATACAAATCCGGATAATAATGCTGGACAAGGCACGGCTGGAACTGATCGTTCAAACATTGTTTTATTGAAAAACCAAAATTTCCCAGAAGGCACTCCTGGTCGAGCTGTTCCACTTGCTTATGCATATGGTGACTATGGAACTAATTATCCAATGAATTTAACTTCAAAAAGTTTTTTAGGATTTAGCATGGATGACATGGTCAAACTTGCAATACTCAGATCTAGTAAGTAAATAAAGTGTATTTTTTGACATTTTAAAATAAATTTTGTGTGTTGATTTCCTATAATTATTTGTAAATTTTTTTAAATTATTTAATTGAAATGGTAAGCTAGATAATGTTGAATAGAAGTGGTATATCGTTGGTAGAAGTGGTGTATTATAATTGAAATATTTTTCACTTGAACTTATTTTCATTCATGTAAAAACTTCTTGGCAATCCTGTGATTGTCAAGAAGTTTTTACAAATACAATATTATTTTCAAAGTATGACTTATCTTGAAATATGACATATGTAATTGATTGGTTTCTTTTATTAGTTTTTGTTATTATTATTTTATTAGTTTATTTGAATATTTATCCTATAGTTTCCTTTTTCCCGACGGGCATTTGTTTTTGAAAGTTACGTTCTAAATGTGTTTTAAACGTCTTTTAAACGTCTTTTAAACGTCTTTTAAACATTAATGTTTAAAAGACGTTTAAAAGACATTTAAAAGACATTTAGATCGTAACTTTTAAAAACAAATGCCCGTCGGGTTAAATTAAAAAATAACAAACTTTTCTAACACAATATCAATGCAATTCGTCAAATGCTCCTTGCTCGCGTTCATTTTCAGCTCGTTAGTTTAAAAATTAATCACGCATACTTTAAAACATTTACTATTAATTTAACAAAGTAAAAAATACAGCACATAATAAAAATATTAAAAGCACGCATAGCATACAAATGGCACTATAATTGCATTGACTAAAGTAATTTTTTACTTATCTACTATCATTTCTCGACTAACTTTTTTAAAAGGCCACCTCTGAAATATAAGTTAAATACAAAAAATGTTTTATGATTATAACAAACTGGTACTATAATACAAATACACTGTAGTTTGTTTATTTACTTTAAAATTTTGAGTTTTTATCAATTTTTCTGGCACAATTAATTGGAACAGCAGAAAGCATTTTAGGATTATTCCAAGTAATTATTTCAATATAGGATAACATAACAATTGATGTTAATGAGTTTGCCTAAAATCGCAAAAGAACAATTAGTTGGAATAATCTCAGAATATTTTCCATCATTCCAAATAATTACATCAGAAAAATTTCTTAATTCTGTCGGAAATGGTAAACTAAATCTTAAAACTAAATCAATTTTTAAATTTTAAATTAAAAAAGGAAAAAAACGTATATAACTTTAAAATTTACACAAATAATTTTTTTTTCTAGATAAAGCTGGTTCCATTAATTCAGAGCTAAATAATGCAGGAAATTATTTCGATCTTGGCCCTCGTAGAGTAGCAGACAGTGCATTAGGAACTTATTACTACATGTGCACCAGAAATAATAACTTTTCAAATCGCAGTCAAAAAGGAAAGCTTATTGTGTTACCAAAAAATAATTCTGCCCAACCAAGAGTTGGCCAACCAAACCCTAATACTAAGTATGAGCTATTATATTTTGGTTAATAATATTCAATTATAATCAATGAAAATTGTATTTTTTTAAAAATAGTTTTAGTTTTTTGTGTCATAAAGCAATGGTTTGCATTATAATATTTTTCTTTAGGAGAAGCTATACAAAGAATGCGCAGAGGTTGAAACATAACAAACCGTTTTTTACTTAGTAATTACCTGTAAATGTTTAAATTAGAAAATCACGCTTTGTTTTAATGATATTTAATGCCGTATTGTTACTATTTTTTTCATTCACTAATACCTACACGCTTTGTCGTTTTTATATTCATATTTTTTAATGAGCAAATTTTTTGCAAAACAAAATTATTTTTCGAGAGCTTTTTGACATCTGTTGAAGTTTCACATCTATCTTTAAAATTTAAAAGAGTTCTTTAAATTTATTCAATTTATCATCTTTAATAAATAATGTTACTAAATCATGATTTATAAGTACTTTTAATTTTATGCTTTTTGCTACGGTTTTATTTGTATTTATGGTAAAATAAACTAAAATTGACGCATTATTTTATGTTTAAAAATACAAGAGTTCTCGCAAATATTTGAGCACTGTTTTGTATATACCCAATATATCTTTGTTTTTTAAAACAGCGACTTCCAAAAATTTTTGTTGGAAAAGTGTGTATATATATAAATATACTACTAATTTATATATATATATATATATATATATATATATATATATATATATATATATATATATATATATATATATATATAAAATTTCAGAAAACGGCTGTCGAAAAGAGTTATGATTCCTTAAAACATATTTTTATGTTTTTGCCAGTACAAATTTTGAAAAGAGGTTGCTGATGAGCTAGTTTTACATTGATAAAAAAGATTCAAAATCTTAAAAATATTTAACTCGTATATTACTGAAAGTTTACATTTCATATAAAAAATGGCCTGGTACCAAACCAATTTAAAAAATAATTAAAGTATCAAAAACTATAAAACACAAAAAACTCTTGTATCACCAAGTTCTTTAAATCTATCATTCACTAATATTCGTGGTCTTCGAAGTAACTTTTCTTCTGTTCAGTCTCATCTCTTGCAAAGTTCACCGGACCTGCTTGCTCTTTTTGAGGCTAATTTTAGTTCAGCTGTCTCATCTTGTCATCCTAGTGCTGATGGTTATCTTCCTTTAATTCGTAAAGACTCCAATAGTCACATGCTTGGCCTGGGCATTAACATTTGTTAGAACTCACCTATTTGTCCAGAAACTAGGTTTAAAACCACAGACTATTCTTTTATGTACTTTCGTTTAGCATCACTTTCTCTTTTGCTCTATATCGCTCTCCTTCATCTCAAATCCGCACTCTTTACAATGTTGTTTCTGATCAAATTGACCAAGACTTTTCTCTTTATCTTCCAATATCGTTGTTGTTGGTGACTTTAATGCTCATAACACTAAATGGCTTTTTTATAGTGAATCTAGTGGTTCTAGTGTCAGTGAATCTGCAGGCGCAAATTTTGCCTTTCTCAATCTCTAACAATAATAGTCAACTTTCCGACTCGCTTTCCAGACAATCCGAATCAATTACCTTCTCTACTCGACTTAGATCTTGTTTCTAATCTTATTCAGTGCTCAGTTTCTCCATATTCACCCTTAGATGCTTCTGATCAGGGTTTGATCTCTCTAAACCTATTACCTTATTCTTCTTCATCATCGAAATTCTCCTATCATCATACCTCCTACAACAACCTTAAAGCTGACTGGGATTGGACTTACGTAATTTTCTTTGTGATTGTCTTTAGGTAGAAATCATTCATCTTCCTGCTGACAAATGTGTTTCTTATGTAACTTCTCGGATTCAGGCTGGCATAGAATCGTTTATTCCCTCAAAACAATTACAATTCAAGCCTCGCTTATCTCCATTGTTTTCCTCTCATTATCTCGTATTTTATCTAAAAAATTAGGATTCTCCACAAGTCTCTGGAGAGTCTTTAACAGTTTCTATAATGAAGGGAAATCTATTATTCCTCTTCTCTTTCATGGTTCAGATTTTGTTACCTCACCTAAAGATAATGCTAAATTATTAGCCAAAAACCTTTCATTAATCTCATATCTTGATTCCACTAATCACATCATACCTGATATAGCAGAAAAACAGTAGGATTCATTGCTTAACATTCGTATCACTCCAGCTTTTGTATCTAAAGTGACTTCCTGCTTAGGATCTACCACAGTTTAGACTTACCATAGGTTGTGTAATTCGGACAACATACCTGTTATAGTCTTGCAAAAGTGTTTCCCAGGGCTGTCGTCTATACTTTCAAAACAAATAAACAAGTGCGTATCAGAGTGTTGTTTTTTAGCCTGCTTTTACGGCATGTAATCCCTATTTTCATAGATTCTGTTATCCATAATTTCAAAGATTCTGGAGAGTAATCTAACTCATCTAACTACCATCCCATTAATCTTCCTCCTATCATATATGATAGGAGAAAGATTAATGGGATGGTAGTCAGATTCTGTTATCAATATTTGAAAATATGAATAACAGAATCTATGAAAATAGGGATTACATGCCGTAACAGCAGGCTAAAAAACAACACTCAGATACACAAAAACCTTACTTATGCATAAGTAAGGTTTTTGAGCCTTTAATTAACAAACTCCTAATCTCTCATCCTTATTCTAATAACTTTTTGATCATCAATATAGATTTCGATCTTTTTTTTTTTTTTTTTTATGTTCTTTTTATTTATTCAAAATAACTATTACAATCAAATAAAAGAAATAAGAAACGCATACAAATAAAAATTACAACTTTTGTTAAATATAAAAAAAGAAGAACGCGGAGATTTGTAGAAGATCTAATGATCTTGTCATCAAGAACCGCTTACAACTAACAATCATTTCGTATTTAAAAACAACTTCGTAATGTATATAAAATAAATAAACGAAGTCTAATAAAGTCTTGAAAATAGAAGTAAAAATGAACGGTTTGCATGAATATATAAAATGCAAAATGAATAATATAAAATGTATAAATCAACATGTTACACAAGCCAGTCAAAACAAAGTTAACAAAACTAAGTTTAAATATACAAGTATGTGATCAAACAAATATTTTAGATATAAGAATTCGTATAAACATAAATAAATCAAAGTAATTAAAATTAAAAATATACAAGTATGTTTTCAGTAGAGAGAATAATATTTTTTAATTTTCTTTTAAATGCAAAGAAGTTACAGTCTTGAGAAAAATCAAAATGTTCCAAAACTATATTGTTCCACAGAAACGCCCCTCGAAAAGAAATACAAGACTTACCTAAATTTGTTTTAAAAACAGGTTGTAGAATGAAATTATCATTTTGTAAATTATATTTATTTTTTTCTTTTGAGGAATATAAATTGTGAAAAAAAACCGGAGATGTACGACTTTTACATTTAAACATAAAACACAGTACATTAAATACATTTAGTTGAAATATATTTAAAATACTCCTTTCAATAAGAGAGGCTTAGTATGTGTAAAACGGTCTTTAAAATTAATAAGATGTGCAGCATGTTTCTGTTGGCGATGAAGAGGTTCTAATTTACTTTTACTAACACTACCGCAAGCTGCATTCGCATAGTTTACGTGGCAATGAAAGATTGAGTGGTATAGTTAAATTAAAATATGTTTGTCTAGCATGCTTCTTGCTTTATACAATATACCTATACTTTTCGAAATTTTGCAGGATATGTTTTCGATATGGTTTTTCCATGTGAGATTTTCATCAATTGATATCCCTAAAAAGTTTGTACATGTTGCTCTCTTAATTAAAACGCCATCAATAAAAAGACCGGGAAGCTCTATTGGAATTAGACGTTTTTTAGAATTAGAATGGAAAAGAGACCATTTTGTTTTTTCAATATTCAGAAAAAGTTTGTTTGATTTAAACCATTGGGAAACTTTATTTAGTTCAATGTCCATACAAGAAAATAGTGTCGTTATGTTGCTATGAGATAAAAAATAAATTTGTATCGTCAGCATACATAACTGTCATCAAATTGGATGCTTCATAAAGGTCGTTTATGTAAATGAGAAAAAGTAAAGGTCCTAGTACAGATCCTTGAGGAACGCCGCATGTAATTTCTAATAATTTAGATCTAGATGATTGGTCAAAATGAACAAATTGTTTTCTATTGCTTAAATAACTTTTTGTTAGCTTAAGAAAATTTCCTGTGATTCCATAATATTTTAGTTTTTTGAAAAGGATTTTATGGTCAATTGTATCAAACGCTTTTGATAGGTCAACAAAAATTCTTAAAGTAAATTTTGACTTTTTAAAGGAATCTGTAATACGCTGAGTTATTTGAAGAATAGCGTGTTCAGTGGAGTTATTTTTCTTAAAACCATATTGATTTTTGTACAGTATATTATTTTTACGACAGATGTTGAAAAATTTTATTATAAAGAATTCTCTCTAAAATTTTTGAAAAAACAGAGAGAACAGAAATAGGACGGTAATTACCGATATTCAACAATTCTCCTCCTGAAATATTGATGTAACTTTCGCTATTTTCAACTGATCAGGAAGTATTCCTTGATCAATTGAACATTTAAATACTTTATATAGAACAACTTGTATGGTTTCATATGAGTTAATATTTCAAGAGCATTACTACGATGTACTTCTTGTTTAATTGTTGATTTATTAACGGTATCAACCGATAGATTTTATAATGCATAAAATAGATGTAGGTTAAGGCTATCGCTCTCGATGTTTCTAAAGCCTTTGATAAAGTTTGGCGTGCATAAGCTCTCTTCTTACAGTGTATCAGGTAACATTATTAAGATTATTGAATCCTTTCTTACGAATCTTAGTATAAAAATTGTCCTCAACGGACAGCACTCTTCTTTATATCCTGTAATTTCAGATGTTCCTCAAGGTTTTATCTTAGGTCCTATACTATTTTTAATCTACGTTGAAATTCTCACATTTAAGGTGGCATTGTTTGCTGATGATACTACCATTTATTCTTGTTTTTATAAGAAGCCAACACTATTTGATTGTTTTAGAGGGGACATTTGAGCTTGAAAAGTATCTTACTTCTGCTACAACATGGGGCTCTCAGTGGCTGATGAACTTTAACTTTAATAAAACTCAATTTTTTTCAGTGATCGCAATCGTGATCGTGACTTGAATAGTCTACTACCAATCGTATTCGTAAGGTACCCTTCGTTTTCTAGGATTAACTCTTTCTTCTAATACTTAAAATAAATTTCTTCTAATACTTAATTTAAATTGAAACTTTGCTCAGTGCTGAGCAAAGTTTCCACTTAAAATTACCATTCAAAAACTTAAGATTTTAACGGTCTGGAAATTAAAGCCGAAGTTAGGATTCAATAATATACCGTAATTATCGGGTGGACACGGAAAAATCCGGTCATTTTTAAATTGAGATTTCTCCAAAACTACCAATGCTTTTTATTTAATTTTTTTTTTAAATTAAACCTTACTTCCTTATCTTAAATGGTGTTGATAAATTTTTGTTTACAAATTAATGATTTGCAAAATTTTTTGGAAACAAGTTGAGGTGCATAAAAAAGTTGTGAATTTTTTTTGCAAAAATCCATCGACATCCTATCGCTTGATTGCTAAACGCACAAATGTCCCAAAATCAATAGTCATAGATATTATAAACAAGTTCAAGAACTTGTTTATAATATCTATGACTTGGAAGTGGAAACTTTGAAGTGGAAGAAAAAAAACTTTCCATAAATCCAAAAAGGTAAAGTCGATTTTACGTTCAATAGCAAGAAATCCAAATCAGTCACGGCGAGATCTAGCAATAAAATTTAAGACTTCTCGTTCTTATATCAAAAAAGTACTTAAAAATGCTGGAATTAAAGCACTTCATTAAAAAAATACACCTAAGACAAGCTTAAATTGTGAAATTAAAGGAATTCGACGCGCAAAGAAGTTGGTTAAAATAATGGCGGATAAAAGTATGTGCATAATTGAAGACGACGAAACGTATTGCAAGGCGGATTTTTTACAACTTCCTGGTCAACAGTTTTACTATGAAAACAAAGATAAACCTGTCGATGATCAATTTAAATATATTCGACGAGAAAAATTTGCATCCAAGTTCCTTGTGTGGCAAGCAATTTGTAGCTGTGGTATGCAGTCCTCTTGTTTTGTCACTAAAAAGACCTTGACTGCCAATCTCTACATCAAAGAATGCCTCCAAAAAAGACTTTTGCCTTTTATAAAAAAACACAAATACCGATGTCTCTTTTGGCCTGATCTTGCTGCCTTTCACTATTCTAAAAAAGTTTTACAGTGGCGCAAAGATAATAATGTAAAAATTGTTTCAAAACATGCGAATCCTCCAAATCGTCCTGAAGAGCGCAAGATTGAAGATTTTTGGGCAATAGTTAAAGGAGTTCTTCGTAAGACAGGTGGACTAACAAATAATAAAAAGGACTTCCAAAAAAAGTGGATTAATGCCACCAATATGGTGAAAAAAGAAAAAATCTGTAAAATGATGGCATCAACCCGCTATAAAGTTCGATTTCTTGCCAAGCAACCCATCAAGCCCCTAAAATTAAGTTAAAACTCTAATTTATGTAAACACATTTAATAATAAAAAAATTGAAATAAAAAGCATTTATGGTTTTAGAGAAATCTCAATTTAAAATTGACCGGATTTTACCGTTTCCACCCGATATATTAAATTATAACACAAAAAATCTTGATATGCATATTCCATTTTAAATAAACACAGTAAGATTTTTAAAGTTTTTCCCTTAAACAATCTAATTGAGTATCTTGTGGACCAGATATTTAATTAAAATACCGTTTAAACTAATAACCCACTGACAGCAATTTCTGGAAAAATTTCATCTAAGTTAAAAGACAATTTATTCTGCAAAATTACCCCAATTCAAAATTATTTATATATAAAAAAAAAGCTCAAAAAAATGATGATTGTATAATTTGGTGAATATATATATATATATATATATATATATATATATATATATATATATATATATATATATATATATATATATATATATATATATATATATATATATATATATATATATATACATATATATATATATATATATATATATATATATATATACATATATATATATATATATATATATATATATATATATATATATATATATATATATATATATATATATATATATATATATATATATATATATATATATATATATATATATATATATAATGATATCGTGTATAAAAATTATGTACATTGAATATAAAATCTGATAAGTATAAAAGCTGCAGGTCAGCAGCTTTATACAAACGATACAAAACAATAAATAGCTCTATACAAACGATACTTTGCTTTTTTGTGTTAAAGCTGATTTGTGAGAATGAAACGTATTTTTCTTATGGTTTCTCCTAAAATAAGATATATAAGATAAGTACATAATATTTACTAAATATTAAAATACTACAGAATAAAATAAAAACATTGCAGATTAAAAAAATGAATATAAATTAGAACAACACTTCGCAGGTAAAAAATTGACGTTTTTAACTCTAATTTTGTACTAAAAAAATAATTTCATAAAATATTTATGTTGCAGCAAAACTGGAAACCAATAAATCAAAAATAAACAAAATACCAATAAAACTCCTAAAAAATTTACGAAAACTAGTGAAAGGAAATCAATAGATTTTGAGCAGTCTAATATTTTCAAGAACTGAGTTTTTTAAACATTTCCTACTACTTAAATACTTGTTACTTTTATCATATGAAAACTTAAAATTGTTAAAAAAATATCATAGTGGAAAACTTGTATCCTTAATCCTCAGATTTTATTCTTAGTAGAGGAGTATTCTAAATCCTAACGCACAGTATATGCAGGGGGTCTTTAGCTCCAGCTGCCCCCCCCCTTCCGCCTTCTTTAAAAAAATGTCCTAATTAAAGGGAGGGGTGGTCTCTAGGTACCGCAGTTTGAGTAGTCCCATTTTTTCAGAAGAACTATTTTTTTTTATGTTCTTTTTATGGTAATATATCAGTTTAGGACCCCTGCCTTAAAATAGCCTCAGGCCCGGAATTTTCTTAACCTGTCTCTAGGCCTAGAAAAAACGTTCAATTTCTGTTGGAATGAAGAGTTCAATTTCTGTTGGAACGAAGCTTCTAAATTGGATACAATCGTTTCCAAGAAATAAATTTGAAAAATTATAAAATTATATTCAAAACTTTTTGCACGAAAGAAATTAAAAAATCATGCACTTTCGTTTAAAACCGATCAATGTTTAACAAGTCAGACTGTTTTTTGCAATTAAAGGTAGTTACAACATATCTTTGAAATATAAAAAAGAGCCCTAGAGCTGCATAAAAACGCCTAAAATTAGTAATTGGTTATGTGTTTAATTTTTTAAATGCATAAAATAATTTTCAATCAAAATGCCACATTAATATTAGTCTGGTTTATAACTTTGATGTTTTAAGAAATTTAAGCTATTAACTATGCAAAATGAACTATTGCCAGGTATTTCAGGTATCACAATCAACTAGATAAAAAATTCTTAATATCACTACATTTGTAATATAATAATACTGTATGTGGTAATTATGGGAGTAATCTGATAAAGTTATTACTTTAGTCCAGTTTATTTTTATTATGGTTAATAAAATATGTGGTTGCTAAGCAATTTAGGTGTCCATAGCAACCCAAAATTAAAACTAATGTCACCATTGAAATCGCAATTCTCAAATTATTAAAAAGTGCAAAAATGGTCTTTAAATTTTTTTTATATGAGTTATTTGTTTTGTCCAGTAAAAATTAATTTTGACCCACTGTGTAATGGTTACAAAAATTTCACGTCAAAAAATTGATAAATCTTCTCATCAAAAAATTATTAACGAACAAAAAAAAAATAAAGAAAAAAAGATAACAAAATGAAAAAGCATCAGATAATTCTTTTTTTTTTTTTTTTTATCTTTCTTAATGTAATAAAAGTAAGCATTGTTAATTTGAAGATGTAGATGATTTTTTTGAAACTGATCTTGAAAAAAAAACTTTTTTAAATAGACACTAATTTAAAAAAAAAAAACTACTTGCATATGGTTGTTGTGAACTGCAACAACCATATGTAATCAGATCTACCTTATGTGCAACAAAAATATTACCAATATTGATAAACATATCTACCATGTATGTAAAACCATGTATGTAAAGAGCTAGATAGGGAGAGAGACAAGGTTTTAAAACTACTAAACTTTTGTTTGTTCCGAGTTATATTCAAAAACCATGAAATTATCATAAAGAATCTAAACATTTGTGGTGAAAAAAAAAAAAAAAATTATTTTTTGAATTTAAAAATCTTTTATTTTAACGTTTTTCGAAATCTTCTTCTATCATTTGGTTTCACTGAAAAGTCATAAAATGTTTTTAAATCAACATAAAAGAATCATAAATAAAGTTTGAAATTGCTTAATCCATTTTGCTATAAATTTAAACATAGCAGAATTTAAATTACATAACTGTTACTCTATTTTTCTATAAAACTGAAGGTTAAGCCATGCATACTGAACTCCAAATATTTTTTAACAAGATGCATACAACCTTATCTAATTATGAACTTTTTGAAATTTTTGTTTTCAAGAATTATCAAAAAGACTTATAAAGCATGTCATTAAAAAAAATTTCTGCTCAGAAGTTTTAACAACTAAAAAACTTGGATGATTGAGTCATTCTTGCAAATATATTTAGTAAAGTTTAGCCTCAGTTTAACTGTTTAAGTATTCAATTGGTCCAAAAAATGTGCATATTTTGAACTAGTTAAAATTTTAGTCACACAACATGACTACAAGTACCAAGCTGGCCCCTGACACAAAAAAGATAGAATAGACTTTAATGGGTTAAACCAATTAATGATTAAACTCTTTATACTATAAATATATGATAAACTATTGTATTATATCTAAAGATTATCCAGGCCATATATTAAAAATATGTAAATAACTTTTTTGAAAATGTATGAAAAATATACAAAAAAATACTAACAATGAAATGAATATTAAAAAAATTTAATAATAAGCAATACGAAGCTTTAGAAAACACTATGCCTCGATTACTTTACTATGCCTTGCTTAAACTAACTTTCTACTTAAATGTACAACCATCGTATTTTTATTGTGTGAAGAGAAAAAACAATTTTTTTTTAATGTTGTCGAGGAGGCTGATTTAATTGTGGTTACAACCCTCTCTCAACTCTATAATTCTGAAACACGAACCTTGACAAAGCTGCTATGCAGAGAAACAAGTTGAATGCGGTACCACCAGGGATGTGGTGGAAACATGAATTAGAAACCTCTCACTTATGAAGCAAGCCTTCTACCATTACACCACTTCTGCATATTACTTATAAATAGCAGTAGCCAGTGATAAATTTGCTGATAAATTTAGTTTGATATATATGAATAACTTTAAAATATCTACTTTTAAAGAACTTAATAGTAGTGAATACATAAATAAAAAAGATTTAGAAGCTGAAATCATAACTCCATTAAAAATGTTGCATAGCTTAATTAAAAAACTTGGGCAGTTAATTTTCTTTCAAAAAATTTACTTTGAAACATTTTTTTTAATGAAAAATTGTTTTATTTTACTACTAGTACACATGAACCTTTTTTCAAAACTAAAAAAAAAAAAAAAAAAAAAAAAATTTGTCATTTTCTTCAATATTTTCATTTTAATTGCTTTGGTAAACAGTAATTTTAGTCATTTGATGACTTTATTCAAACTTGAACTTCTGGAGAATTTCTAGATTTCCAGAAAATCTATAAATTAACAGAAATGGCTGGAATTCTAGATATATACAGAAAAATATGATCTAATAAATGCATATTATCTTTAACTTTCTTCTAATCACCTCTGATACCTCTCTGTCTCTGATACCTCTCTGTCTCTGTAACTTTCTAGCACACATAAGAGTGAAATATTTTTTGTTTTTATAACATTAAAATTTCTTTTTGTAACATTAGAAGGTTTGACATGATGTTGATAAATGACAAAGGCAAAAAAAGTGAGTAATGTGTGATTCTTATGCATATGGATTCTGCTAAACTTGCACTGTGCAATGTTTTACTAGGCTTACTCAGTTTATGAATTTTTTTTTAAAGTTTTTTTAATTACGCTACATTTATGGATTCAACTGTAATTCACTAAAATAATATTTTTACAGCCAAAAAATATTAACTTTACAATAACGACTTTATCTATGTTGACTGTTTAAAAAAATAAACCACAACTGGTTTTTTAATTGCAACTTAGTTTCTTGAAATTTAATGCTGGTTACAACAATATTTTTTCACTAATTTGATTTCCTTTCTGCTCAGCAACCATTTTCGTTGGTAAATTATTTCTTTAATGCCAATTGAGGTTTTATTAAAGAGAGATGCAAAACCAACATTGTTTACCAATGATGATAATTAATGAATCGTTCACCAATGATGATAATGATGAAAGTTAATTTAAATAGACATTTGCTAATCATTTTCCGATTAGTATTTTCATAATAATAATTCAGATGTTTTCAAATAACTGGTCTAATAATGCAAGTTGTCTTTTAAAGAAATAATTTCATTTTAACTCTGCTTTCCATATAAAGTCAAGTTTTTAAATCTTCTATGCCCAAACCAAACCCAATAATGCCATACCTTTCAGAAAAAAGCAGATACCAACTGCTTAACAACTTCCTAATTTGCCATCATATAATTAACACCCTTCTTGCCGATTCTTTCTAATAATTTTGAAAATAAGAATTTTATCACCTCTAATACTCCTGATTGCAAATTTTTAAATTAATGATTACATATGAAGTTATTAACACATTAACTCAAGTAGTTTAGAACATTTTTTTTCTAATGTGTAAATTAAAAAAAAAAAATTGTTAGAAAACCTGACAAAATTTCAACTCCCTAAACTACAAAAAAAAGTTATCTTAAAGCAGAAACAACTTGGTTGTGTAGTTTATTGTAATTTATTTATTTGTTTATCTAGTTTTTATCTAGTTTATTTCAGTTAATTTTACAGTAGTTTATTAATCCACTACAAATTTCATTACCAACAGAATAATTAAATATTGTCACCAACAGAATAACTAAATTTCCTTGCCAACAGAATAATTAAAATATCAAAACAACAACAAATAATAATAATAATAAAATATCAAATTTGCTTCTAGCTAAATGCAGAAAAATCACTATTTTAAATTTTCATTACTGATTTAATTTTTAACAATTTTAGAACATTGTTATAAACAAAAATATTTAAACAAAAAATTATATATAAAAAAATGTGTACCTGGGATAATAGTAAGCAGAATTTGCTTGCTGTTTAATTACGTCATTTTTTGGTAAAACAATAATTTTTCCTTTTTGGCTACGATTTGAAAAGTTATTATTCCTGGTGCACATGTAGTAATAAGTCCCTGTTGCATTACTTGCAAGAATATGAGGGCCCAGATCAAAATATCTTCCAGCATCAGCTAGCAATGAATTCCTAGCACCAATTACATCTATAATATATTAAAGAGTTTAATTCTCCAATTTTATTTTAAAGTTATTTATGAAACTATTTAATATTGTATAATATTATATGTCAATGTTGTGACCACTTTACTGGCAGTGATATGATAGGTTGCATTAAAAAAATAAACTAATAAACTGTCATTTTAAAATAAAATAAAAAATAAATTACTTTCTTTCTTATAGTTTTTTTTACATTTATTTCTAACATAAAATTATACAAACTTTAAATTAGATTTAATTTTTACTTTATTTGTGTCTAAAATGTAACATACCAGGTGTGAGTATGGCTAGTTTTATGGTATCAGCCAAACCAAAACCTAGTAAACTTTTGTTTGGCGTGCTCACATTCATTGGATAATTATTTCCATAATGACCTTTTTTGTTATCAAGGGAGGCAGCTTGTCCAGGATTGCCTTCGGGGTAATTTTGATCTCTTAATAAAATAATGTTTGAACGATCAGTTCCAGCATTACCTTGTCCTGCATTATCATTTGGATTAGTATTTGAACCAGTCCACCTAAGAAAAACATAGTTATATAGAACTGTATATATATTTTGCATAAAATTACTATATGTGTGTATGTATGTATGTATGTATGTATATATATATATATATATATATATATATATATATATATATATATATATATATATATATATATATATATATTATATATATATATATATACATACATACATACATACATACATACATACATACATACATACATACATACATACATACATTTATACATACATACATACATACATACATACATACATACATACATACATACATACATACATACATACATACATACACACAATATACATATATGAATACAGCATAAGATACACACATAAGAAAAAGGGGCTTCAATATATACAACTGATTTTGGAAGAACATGCAAGGAAATTTGCTACATCGAATGAAGACTTAGGTTGAGACAGCAATAAATTATTTAATTATTCTTTGTTTTTTCTTTTCTAAATATTTAAAAAATACACTTGACAAACATAAAACTACTCAACAAAAAGCTGCTGACATTTATGAACCACTCAACATAGACTTTTCATTTACTCAAGTATTAACAAACACATTTTTTTATTGCTTTAATAAGTCTCAGTGAAAGTGCTTGAGAAACATAAACCTGCTGAAAACAATCTGATTGATCAATTTCTGCTATTTTTCATATATTATATACACACTTTATAGAAATTTTAAACATAAAAATGGTTTAGCCCTTTAGACAAAGTCTTTGTTTTCATGCTCTAATGTTCATTAGTACTTGAAAAAAAAATTTTTTTTCAAGGAAATATATTTTTTGTTGGTACCATTAGGAAGATAGAGTTAAATAAACCAATTAATAAAGAAAATAAAAAACAGGCCTCGACAGGAATAGCAAGCAATCAATCTCTTTTCCTGATCATGCTTATAATACTTTGTTGTGACAACTTGGCCACAGCTTTTCAAGTATTTCAAATATGTGGTAAACGAATTAATTTAGTTCTTTTAGGACGTATTTGAAATATCTAAATTGCCAAGGCCAAGTTGCCACAACAACCCTTACGGAAATATTCCATGGAAAACCCATGGAATTCCATGAGTAAACCATGGTTTTCCCATGAAAAACGGGAATTCCATGGAATTTCCATGGGTAAATTTCATGAAAATTGAAATCCTATGGAATTTCCATGGGTGAACCATGTTTTTTTTTTCATAGCTTAAGCTGCGCCATGGTTGTTACAAATGCGCTTTTAAAGATGGCGTCATAGCTCGTAGAGTTATGATTATTTTTAAATTAGAAAACAATACTTACTGCATTCTTCTGTTTTTCTGTGTTTAATAAGGCTATGAATTATATGTTTTTTATAATGCAATACATTTATATGTTTTAACTAAACATACAGACATAAACAACTAGATATATTTATCATATTATAATGCATTATAAAAGGGATTATTTTTAATTATATTTTATTATATATCATTTATGCATATACTTATTTTAACTGTTTCCAGTAGCTTTGCTTACTTTGCATAACTTGCAATAGTATAGCAAGTATGTCAAGTAAACCAGTTTGAATTTTAATGCCTACTTGGCAAATTATTTGCCAAATAATTATTATTTGGTTTACAACAAATAAATGTTTAGTTTTAATCTACATTAAATAACTAGTGTATTAATGTACATAGTGTAATTTAATGTACATTCAAACTAGTATAATTATTATTATAAAATTTATCGAACGTATTAAAGAAACTTATTTAAAATATTAATATACAAGCAGTATATTAGATAAGATTAGATAACTAAGATAATAAGATTAGATAACTAATGTACAAAAGATAACTAGTATGATCTTTTTTATTTTTTTTTTATAATAGCCTTAGATTACATAAAAATGCTTGAAGTTTATTGTATCGTAAATGTTCATTAAGTATTAAAAAACATTTTTTTATGATAAATGTTCTATTCAATTTTAGTTCTGTTAAGTTGTTTTTGTCTTTTTGTTGTAGTTTTTTCTTTAGAATTATTAGAATATGTAAATAATGTAATATAAATAATGTTTATAAATTCTTTTATATTTACTTTATTATTTCATTTAAATTACTACATTATAAGCCAACAGGTTTGACTGGCAATATAAATAATGTTGTTCATCGTTTATATTGTTTATAACATCGTCAGTTTTTATATGCATTTAATATTTTTAAGAATAGTTCAAAAGCTGTCAAAATAAAATGGTGAATTGAGTTTAAACCAGAAAAGATATAAACGTAATCTTTGGGATTCAACTTGTAAGGATGTTCCAAGAACCACTTAGTTGGAGAAGGAAAACTGTGGTAATATTTTATAAGTATCAGTAAGGGAATTTACTTAATGCACAAGATTTTACTTCATAGTTAAATATAAGCATATAAAAGCAATGTTTATAAATAATACACTATTATTTATTATAATACAATTATTTTTATTTGTTTATATTTAACTGATGTAAAGTGCTCGTCTTTAGTTAAAATAAATTAATTTTTGCACACACTTTGATATTTACTATGCTTTTACATTACTATACTTTATAAATTACATATTTGTTATGTTTTAAATAGTGAAGTAAAAATATAATAAATTTTTGAATTTAATGGTATGTGCGTAAGTTCTTTTATTTTAACTTTATCATTTTATTTAAATTACTGCATTATAAGCAGGTAAGTTTGACAATATAAATAATGTTGTACATCATGCAGACAGCTCAGACAAAGAAGTAAGTTTTTACTTAAAATTACAATTTATAAGTTATACTATATTTGTTGCTGCCTTATTCTATATAAATGTTACTAACATGCAGGTAAAATTTATATATGTGTATAAATCTTTTCATTTTAACCTTATCATTTCATTTAAATATAAATTTTTAATTTATTTATTTAGCCGTTCATTAACAAGTCCTGTGCTTTATAATATATTAAAAAATGGAAGGACGTGAAGAAAACAGGTTTGTAAATGATGTTGTACATCATGCAGATAGCTCAGAAGAAGAAGTAAGTTTTTTTTTTAATTACAAAAGTAAATATATAATATAATATTTGTTGCTGCCTTGTTCTATATAAATGTTTCTAACATGCAGGTAACATTTATATATGTATTAGTTTGAATAAATCATTTTAATAAAGTTACATTATAGGCAGGAATGTTTGACTGGAAATATAAACGATGTTGTACATAATGCAGATAGCTTAGGCAAAAAAGAGGTAACAATCTAATAATTTGTATTTATAAATAATGATATATTCATTGCTACTTTTTTCTATATACCTAACATTTGGCAACATTCATAATTGTGTATAATGCCTAATTATAAAGTAAGTTATAATAGATAATAATTATAAGTAAAATGAATTAGTAAATAAAGAAAACTAGTTAGAATGTATATAATAGTTGTATGATGTATTGTCTAGATTGGTGAAATGGAGAATGAGACTAACTAGGGTGAAAAAAAATGAATATTAATATGTGAATGGTACTTTGTTTAACATCTACCTGTTTCTACAGATACAGTACAGACGCATTTATAAATGGGCTTGATGTTTTTTTGAATTAAATATGTTGTATTGATGGTTCTTTTTAACTTGTTAAAACTTGAAGTTATTATCAAATTTATATATACTATTTTTATCAAATAGTTAATATAAAATAATAAACATGTAAATTGTTTTATTTTTTGTAAAAATTGTTTTCTTGATAAATTTCAATTGTTTATCACTATGTATATCACTTATAGTATTACATTACTTGTAATTTTTTGTTTTATTTATTTTCAGTATGTTATACATATGCGTGCATTAAATATTGTGGGGAAGTCAAGTTTTGATGTTTTAGGTGCATTATAGCTATTATTTTTCAAAGATTTGTAGGATTTAACAAGATTTAAATTTTATTTTGTTTATTGATTTTATTTGAAGAAAGCGATCTCATAGATTAAGAGAACTCAATAATAGTGGGATAAAATTTGCTTTTATGATTTAATATGACAATTCAAATAACATTAGATAAAAAACTTGAAAACAAATCATGCTTTTTTACCATGAAAAATCCATAAGTTTTCATTGGAAAGGTGTTCCTAATACCTATGGAAATTCCATGGTTTTTCCATGGATGGAAAATCATTGAATATCCATGGTATTTGGAACACTTTTCCATGAAAAACTTAAAGATTTTTCATGGGAAATTCATGTGTTTTCCATGGAAAACTCATGGTTTTTCCATGGAAAACTCATGGTTTTTCCATGGAAAACTCATGGTTTTTCCATGGAAAACTCATGGTTTTTCCATGGAGAACTCATGGTTTTTCCATGGAAAACTCATGGTTTTTCCATGGAAAACTCATGGTTTTTCCATGTAAAACTCATGGTTTTTTCATGGAAAACTCATGGTTTTTTCATGGGAACGTGTTCCAAATACCCATGGTTTTTCCATGGGTTTTTTTTCTAAAATTCCCATGGGAAATTTTCGTACGGGAAAGTATTATAAGCATGGTCAGGCAAAGCGGTTGATTGCTTGCTGTTCCTGCCAAATCCTGATAAAACTTCAGTTCACAATAACAAAGATACAATAAGGATGTTAGTCATCAGAACTTTGAGGTTTGAGGTTTAACTCCATCATGCACATGTTGAAACAGCTTCAACTTGTGTTTTAAAAAGAACAGCAAACATCAATACAAACAATATTATTTTAAAACATTTAATCTTGTTGTAATGTTTTTTTGTGTTTCTGAATACATATATGTAAAAGAATAATATTGGAAATTATTGGAAATTATTTAAAAAAAAATCTATTAGACATTTAAAAAAAATTAATTTAAATAATAATAAGAGTCCACCAACAATTAGAAAATTAGAAATTTCAAAAGACTTATGACAACTTTTTTTTATTAACACTAAGGCCATATTTAAATATTTAAGGAAAAATTATTTATAGATAAAATAAAGTGAAAAACTAAATACTGTATATGAATTGCATCTGAAACTGATAGAGTAAGACGACTTGGTACAAAGTCATATTCAACTCCTGGATATACTTGAACAATATTTCCTCGCTTACCACGAACATTTAAGTTGTACATTTGAACTCCATTAAATGAACTAGGACGTGGTCGAATTGCAAATCGATGACTCCTAAACAACAAATTCTTTAAAAAGAATAAAAAAAAACTTCTTAAACTACTGTTGTTCACTCTTAACTTTATTATACATATCTCATTTAATTTTATTATACATATCTCATTTAATTACTGAATTTTTATTATATAAACATTTTGCTTAAAAACACAAATAAATAAATGAATTTTTCAACTTCATAATTAGACCTCCAGTACATCAAACTTCTTACTTAAAATAAAGTTTTGTTTAAAAAATAAAGAAAAAATGTAAAGGTATTACATAAAGACAATTTCCATTTAAACTCATTGTTAAAAAAAGGTTATGTTTGGGACGATTGTAGATTAGTTCAGCAAATGCAATTCCAAAAATTTAATGAAAAAAAAGGAAAATGAATGTTAAAAAAAAAAAGGAAAATGAATATTAAAAAAAAAGAAAATGGAAAATGAATGTATCATTAAAAAAAAAAACCAGATTACAACTATGCAAATTTCATTGGTATAAATATTTACTTTTTCAACCTGTTGGAATATATATTTTTTTAACCAAAAAAGCAAGGTATCCTACATTAAATCATATATGATACTACTATGACACAGCAACTTTGCCCAACTTTGCACTCCTGACATGTTAAGCAGAGAATAATTTGTGCCAAAATTTTAACACTGTGCAGCAATATTAAATCATCACTTAAGCAAACCATCAAAATCATCTCAAAATCTTCAAAATCCTATCAAAGGCATTCAAAACATTGACAAAAGTCATTTTCTATCGAAGAGCTCAAAACCACTATACCAAAGAGTTCAAAACCATATATACCATATATACCAATAAAAAACCATATATACTATATACACCAAAGAGTTCAAAACCACTATACCAGAAACCAAAAAGAAGCAAAATGTTACAGCTGGATGCCTTTTCAAATGTTAACCAATTTTAGATTAGCATGTAAGGTTTATGAACTCATTTGTTGCCATATCAACATTTAACTTGAGATTTTATATCAGATTTTTCCTTCTAAATTGTGAGCTGTCTTCACAACAGCTTAAATTGTGAGCTGTCTTCACAACAGCTTAAATTGTGAGCTGTCTTCACAACAGCTTAAATTGTGAGCTGCCTTCACAACAGCTTAAGCGTTGCCCCATTTGCATCTCTACAAAAGCTGTAAATTATCAACCTATTTCAATTACATCTGGTTTGTGCAAATGACTTGTTTTTAAAATTCAAAATGGTAAGTCCTGTAACAAATCTGTTGAAAATGTTTGATTTTACAATGACGTTGTGGAGTGGCATTTTGACTTTGCTAACACTTCTTGCCACCACACTGTCAACATTTACAGTTCTTGTCAACACACAGTCAATATTTACACTTCTTGTCACCATGCTATCAACATTTACAGTTCTTGTCAAAACACTGGCAACATTTACAGTTCTAGTCAACACGCTGTCAACATTTACACTTCTTGTCAACACGATGTCAGTATTTACACTTTTAGTCAACATGCTATCAACATTTACATTTATTTATATGAAAGATGTTAGGCATAGGAAAGAGGAAAAAAAAGAAATTTTATTTGATATGTAATATAATGATTATGTTATATGATGTTAGAGGATTTTAATTATTAAAACTTTGATCTATGATTAAACTTTTTTTTTTGTGCATATTTATCATAAATTAATCAATTATTGCGCAAAATATTTTTTGCATATTTATCATAAATTAATCAATTATTGTTCAAAATATTTTTGCATATTTATCATAAATTAATCAATTATTGTGCAAAATATATGATTTTTAAAATAAGTAAATCAAAATAAACATTTAAGCATATAAAAAAAAAAGACCAATTAACCAATTTTAAAATTTAAAATAAAAATACCTGTCTTGAAATGTTCTTCCATACTGAGCAGTGTTAATAGCTAACGCAAGATTCAACTTTTTACCTAATATTGAATTACCAACTTTTATTGGTTGAACAACAGGATTGTTGTTAAAAACATATCCTCTATTACTGGCCTCAGTGTCTGAAAGCCCAACCAAAGGTCCAATTTTTATATTGTTAACTAAAAAAGAACAACAAATTTATTAATTTTGGTAAAATATATTGTAAAAGCAGCTCAAATAAAATAGCAGTTTTTATGGGTATTTGATTCTGTTTGTTTTTTTTAAGTTGTAGAGAATTTTGAGGTGCATTTAAGTATATAAAAATCAAATAATTTTTTTAATTTTTTTTTTTAAACTTTATTTGGAAAAAAAAACTACTTCATTCTACCCTTATATTTGGTGAGAATGAAGTATGCAAATTGATGGGTAATCAAAAGAATACTTAATTTAAAAATGCAACTGATGAAAACAATTAAAAAAACAACCAATAATAGAAAATTAAAAAAAAAAACTAATTAATAAAGAAAATATTTTTATTTATGTGATGGTGTTGAGTCTTCTGGAGATTAAGTTTTATTTATTCTGATTCACTTCTAAAAAGGTTGCAAGCAACCTCAATTAAGTTGAGAGCTACTAGAAAAAGGTTGCAAGCAACCACAATTAAGTTGAGAGCTACTAGAAAAAAAAAAGAATAGAGTTAAAGAGCAAGGAAACTGTTGACAAAAGACTTAAAAAGTTGTAGGTTGTATTAGTCTGAAAATAAAGAAGATGGGAGAGAGTTCCAATGGATTGAAGCACAGGGAAAAAAAGCAAGTTCCAATGGATTGAAGCACAGGGAAAAAAAGCAAGTTGAATAAAAGTTTTTAGAGCATACAGAGACAGATGCAGTAAAAGAATGAAATTTTGCTGAATGACAAGTCAAGCGAGAATAAATTTTAGTTGATGAAAGCTCTTTCAAGAAGCAAACATTATAGTGTTTGTAAAAAAGAGAAAGAGATGCAACTTTACGACAATGGGAGAAAAGCTCAAGCTTGGCAGATAGAGCGGGTCCAACTACGTCTACAATGCATTTTTAAAACCATTTAAGAATTGTTTGAAAAATAAAGATCATCATTAGAAAAACAAGCCCAAATATAATAACAGTATTCCATACGATGGTCAATGAAAGATTTCTAAAGGTAGAGAATGAAATCAGAAGAAAGAAAATGGAAAACACAATAAAGAGAAGCAACTTTACTAGATGCTAATTTAGCAATCAATTGTATATATGGTTTCCACGAGAGGTCAGTAGTAAACAATAATCCAAGAAGACGCAATGAAGAGGACTCAGTGAGAGGATTGCCATTCAACAATACAGGAATGTCAGCGGTATTGCGATAGTTGTTTGCAGTATATAACTGAGTTTTGTTGGAGTTAAAACTCACAAGCCACTGCAGGCCCCAATCTGTTACAGAAGTGAGATTCAAATTTATCAGATTCAAAATTAGCTGCTTGTTCTAAGAAATAGGAAAGAGAAGACTTTTTGACAAGACAGGATTTTAAAGTTGATTCATCAGCAAACAGAGCCTCTTTAGATGTAAGGCTGTCAGGAAGATCATTAATGTAGATAAGAAACAAAACAAGACAAAGGGTAGATCCTTGAGGTACCCCAGAAGTTACTGGAAATATAGAAGAGTGTTGGTCGTCAAGGATGACTTTAATAAAAATTTCTTTGGAAAGAAATAATTTATTAATTTCAAAAACTTTGCCACATACACCATATCAAGCAAGATTATGGAGAAGACCATCATGCCAATCTTTGCTTTAGATATGTCAAAAGCAATAATCCTTGCCTCAATATGAGATGTTAGAATTTTATTGATCAAAGACACAAAGGCTTTGCTAATAACAGACAGAAGACTGATTGGATGATAGTTAGAGGTGATCTTCAGATTTTTAAAAATTGGAACCACAGATGCCATTTTCAGCAGGTAGGAAAACAAGATTCAGTCAAGCACTAATTAAATAGTTTAGAATTTGAAGAAGTACAAAATAAAAGATTTATAGAGATCATTGCATAGTCAGAATCACCTAAGAGATAAAAAAAAGAGACAAGACACAAATGAAGGAGTGAAGGTAAGTGATTAGAGTTGTCTGGAAAACAAGTCACAAAGTTAACAGAATAAGAGATTGAGAAATGCATAAGTGCCAAAAATGCCACTGACCTGATGACTAAAGTGCCAGCAGGGTCAGTGGCTAAAGTGCCAGCAGGGTCAGTGGCAGGGTCAAGCCATTCATGATGATAAGTATTAAAGTCACTGTTAACAACAATATTGGAAGAGGGGTAAAGAGAGAGGGCATGTTCAATTTGATCAGAATTGGAGAAGGAGAACAATATAGAACAAATAGAAAGGTGATTTTGCACTAAGCAAAAGCATATAAAAGAATGGTTAAAGGATTAAAACCTGATTTCATGAAAAGTAAGTGAATTGATGTGTAAGTATATGCCCTAACCAAGCATGTGTTAATTAGATTTTGCATATTAAAGGATATCCATCAATACTAAGTTCTGAAGAAGAAACAGTCGAATCTAAATTAGTCTCACAAAGAGCAAGCAAGTCTGGTAAATTTTGCAAGAGATAAGATTCAATTGCAGAGGTTTAACACAAGTTGATCCTATGACAGATTCAACACAATTTTTTACAACCTCAAATTAATTTTACAAAATTTAAATTCATTAACAGACTGTGCTTTAACAATTGAATCAAGCAACTTATTCTATAACTATTATACTCAATTTGTAAAAAAACTTTCTCAAAGACTATTTTTGTAGTTCAGTAATGAGTTGAATATTTTTTTGGAATTCAGTTATGAGTTAAAATTCAGTAATGAGTAAACCAGGTTTTCATAAACTAGTTATGTTATAATCTTTTTTAGTATAATGTCCAACTAAATTTTTTCAATATTTTTATATTTAAAAAATTGTATAATAATCCCTCTTTTTCATCTTTCAGTTATGAAAGAACAAAACATTAAAGTTAATAAGTAAGACTCTAATTTAGTTTAATTCTTTGAAAAATTTACAATATAAAAAGCACTCTTAAAGAGTGCTTTTTATATTGTAAATGTTGTATTATATTATTTTGTAACTTTTAGCTATAACTTATTTCATCTAGTATTTCAATAACTTTCCGCAACTTTCTGCATATAATTTGTATTAAATTTTGAGTAACAAATTATTTCTGTAAAAAAAATCATATTTGATTTTGGATAAAGTTACAGTTTTGAAAGTAAAAAATATTTTGTATTTTTTAAAAGTAATAAACTAAAATACTAAGTTTTGTAAACTTTTTTTTTTTATAAAATGATTGATATGTCTTTATTTGTGTTATTAATTTTCACTTGTTATTAAAATATACACTTTTTGCACATTTGTGCAACAAAAGCCTTATAAGTTAAACAAGATTTCTAGAAAATAAAATTTGCTTTGTTGGATATATAGTAATAATCTTGCTAAAATTCAAAATTAATCAAGTGCATTGGTTAAATATGCAATAAAATATAACTATTGCTATAATATGTAGCAATTATTTTATTTTATTTTAATCTGAATTTATTATTTGCAAATAATGAGAATATTTTATGTATTTGTAATTCAAACTTTTGTACTACAAATACATAACAAACCTAACAAAGGTATGCAGTTTTTGAAACGCTTATTGCTTCATTAAAACACCGCTTAAAAATATCTTTAAAGTTGTTTAAATATTACCAAACAAAAAAATTTTTAGCTTAACATAAATAACATAGCCTTATGCAAAGTCACTTTTAATGAACATGAAATGCACTTTATCACGAGTAATAGTTGTTAGATATTATTGTGCAACAAAAAGTTATTGGTTTCTATTTCATAGCATAGATTTGCATTTTTTAAATTTATTCAAATATCCTAGTCACTTTCAAAAAAATTTTACTGGAAAGAAATTATGTATTTTCATATTTTTGCATTTTCATTTATTTGTTGCCCTAAACAACAGTTAAGGAAAATAAATTAAACTTAACATAATAAGATAAACTTTATAACAATAATTGTTATGTTTGTCTAATTTTATGTTTTATTTGTTTTTTTATTGGATTTTATGTTGTAATTGTATAAACTTTATTATATGTTGCAGTTGTATATATTGCATTTTATGTTGCTCTTGTATATACTGCATTTTATCTTGCATTTGTACATATTGCATTTTATGTTTTATTTGTATATACAAACGTTGTATACATATCTTATTATACTTGCATATATATATATATTATTCCCCTTTTAAAACTACCTTAAAAATGACTGGGACTCTATCCATGATTTTCTTTGTGATGTTTCTTGGGTAGAAACTTTTTGTCTTCCTGCTGACAAATTTGCTTTATATGCAACATCTTGGATTTAGGCTGGCATGGAATCTCTTATTCCCTCTAGACAATTTCAAGTCAAGCTGTTGTCCCTATTTTCAAAGATTCTGGAGAGTGATCTGACTCATATAACTACCGTCCCATTGATCTTTTTCCTATCATAAGCTAGGTTTTTGAGTCTTTAATTAACAAACACTTAATCTCTAATATTGAATCTAATAACTTTCTGATCATCAATATGGATTTCAATCTTCTCATTCTGCTGTTGATTTATTAACAGAAATAACTGATAGGTTTTATCATGCATTAGATAGATGTGGAGAGAAAAAGGCTATCGCTCTTAACATTTCTAAACCCTTTAAAAAGGTTTGGCATACTGGTTTTCTCCATAATCTCTCTTCTTACAGCATATCATATATCTTTTCTTACCAATTGTAGTATAAAAGTTGTCCTCAATTGACAGCACTCTTTTTCCTTTCCTGTAACTTGCCTCAAGGTTCTTTGGCCCTATGTTTTTGTAAATTTACATTAAAAATCTTCCAGAAATTCTCACATCTAAGGTGGCATTGTTCACTGATGATACTACCATTTATTCTTGTCTAGATAAGAAGCCAACACTTTCTGATTGCTTGGAGAGGGGATTTGAGCTGGAAAAAGATCTCACTTCTGCTACAGCTTGGGGCTCACAGGGGCTGGTGAACTTTAATTTAGAGAGAATTTTTTCAGCTAATCATTATTGCATTAATTTAGATCTTCCTATATTTATGAACAGTAATCTACTCGATTAGTCATTTAGCCTTCATTTTCTAGGATTAACTCTTACTTCCAATCTTTCTTGGAAACCATTTATCAAATCAATTGCAAAATTAGCATCTGCTAAGGTTACTTCTCTTTATCGCGTTTGACACTCCAGATTTTTTTTCTTTACCTCTATAAATCTCAAATTCGTTCTTCTATGGAATACTTGCCATAGAAGGATGGATACGTTACCATATCTGGGGCAGGTTTTTGAATGATGCCCTTGCTCTTTTAGATAAGGTGCAAAAACGCATTGTAAACATAGTTAAACCTGCACTTAAAACCAACTTTTAACCATTGTCACATGGTCATAATGTTGCTTCTTTTCCTCTTCTTTTTAATACTATAATAGGTGCTGCTTTAAAGAGCTAGCATCTCTTGTGCCATCTACTAAAATGCATTCTTATGTTACTTAGCATTCAATTTAGTCTCACCCTTTTGCTGTGACTTTTCCTAAGTGCTTCAAAAATTCTTATTTACTTAGTTTTTTTCCTAAAACATCAGTTCTTTAGAACTCACTCTCTTTAGCTTGCTTTCCTGATTCATAAAATTTGTAATCTTTTAAGTCGTCTGTTATTTTTTATCTTGCTTTATAAACTTCATCTTTTCTCATCCAGTAACCTCCAACTCTAAAAGTGGTTACTTGCAGCCTTGTTAGAAGTGAAGATGTAAAAAAAAAAAAAGTAAAAAAATTATTATATTGATGTATTTAATCATATTATTTGTTTTAACATGTTAAATCAAAACTTCTTAAAAATTGATTTAAACATGAACTTTGCTTTAAATAAAATTAATAAGATTTAAACAGGTTTATTTAGTTAACGATTTAATGAGTAAATGATTGTAGTGCTGTGTTGTTTGGCATTTTATTCTTTTATGAAATTTTTCTACAAATAATTTTATTTCATACAAATATATAAATATATCAAGTACAAAATATTAATACATCAATTTTACTTTAAACAAAAATTTCTTATTCTTAAAGACAAAAAGTTTGTATAAAATTATACAAAAAGTAAATATTTATCAAACCGTAAAAACTGTGATTATTAATTTAAACATTTATTTTCAAAACGCCAGAAAACCTTTCCTATTAATAGTAAAGAATTGTATCTATTTTACAAAGTAAAATAATTATTTTTTTAAAAACAAAGACTTTTCAAACTAAACTCTTACTTTTTAAAATATATTTTGTAATTTTTAATTCTAAATACATTTTTAGTTTCTTAAGTTTTATTGCTAAAGTTTAAACTACTTAAAACTCAAGCTCACTTATTACTTTTATTTAGCTTTCTATTTGAGACTATAAGAAAATCATAGTTGATATTAAAAGATCATAATAAATATTGAAAATATTTTAACAAATCAAAATATAAAGAAACTTGATTATTAGCAATTAAATAAGTATTTACTAGTAATCAAGTTTTTATGTATTTTGTTTGCCTAAAACAGTACAAAAAGTTTTTTTAATTTACCTTTGTAGTTATTTCAACAAATAATTCTTTTTAGAAAATAAAGACTTTCATTACCATATGAAATATATATCAAGATTATTTCTTTTTTAAATTTTTTATTTTTTTATTGTTTAAAAGAAATTATTTATATTTGACAATTTTTAAACATATAATATATAAACAGTTAATTTATAAATGACAAACTAAAAAATAAAGTAAAATAACTCAATGTAAAAACTAACCAAAGTTGTTATTTGATGAGTCAACAGTTGTTGGAAAGTCACCAGTAGAAATGTTATATCGAAGACGTAGTACACAATTCTCATGAATATCATTTGGTATTGTCCAATTGTATGTGTTTGCAAACCCTCCAAACCCATTGCCATTATGATTATCTCGCGATATAGGTGATAAAATGCAATCAGGAAAGTTTAAATTCTTGCTTGGCATTTCTGTCCATTTAGCTTTTATTTTAGAACCCCTAGGCCATTCTATTGTCTAAGCAAAAATAATAAATTAGTAAGCAAAAATAATAAAGTAATTAGTATAAAATTAAAAAATAAATAATTGAAAATGTAACGGTTATAATTAAAAAAGTTTATGAGACATCAAAAAATAACAATTAATAAATATGATTTACATTTAGGAGGAGTTAGGGTACATTGATACATTTTTACTTTAGAGTGAAAAAAAAAATCAAAACAACCATGCAATAATAAAGCTCTAAGATTTATTATAAAATACTTGTTTTAAATTTCTCCTATTGCACCCCTAGGTTTCTTGTATATAAATAAAATAACACTGGATTTAAAAAATTTTCAAGTAATAAATATTTTTAGGGGTCCCATCTGTATCTTGATTAATTAATGGGACCTAAATAAGATCCAAAAAAAAATTCTGATTTGAAAAATTATTAGTTTGCAAAAGGTGACACTCTTTAATATAAAATTATTTCAGTTGTTGATCCTTTATTCCATAGTAGTAATTTTTATTTTCATTATTAGCATTGATATCATATCTGATAACAGATAAAAATGTATTGTAACTGATAAAAATGTATTTTAGTTAATAAAGTTATATAGTGTTAAATAAAAAGAAAACAAAAATTGTAAATTTTTGAAAGAATCAGAAACAAAAAAGAGAGAAAAAAAAAAAGAAAAAAAAAGTGTTGAAGAAAGGAAATGTTGTGGTTAAAATCCCACAAGACTCATTAAAAAATAAATTACTAAATTAATTAAGTAAATAAATTACACTAAACTGCAATTAACTACTAAAGATATATTAAAAACTCCCATAATGCAGCTAAGATTTAAGAAAACTGAATGTTTCATTTGGAAAATGCAGTTCTGCAGACAGAATTAGAGAATGCCTAGTTTTGAATAACAAAAGAGAAAAAAATAGAGCTGACAACAAATATGATGACAAAAAACTTTTTTATATAACAAATTAATATTTTGTAAAAATAACAATTTATTGAAAATATTTGAAATGGCAGCTAGAAATAAACATATATATTAAAAAGTAAAGCATGGTGGTTCTTTTTTTGAAGTTGATTTAAGAATGCTTAAAAACTTTTAAAACTTTTTAACTATGATCCGATTTCCATATAACGGGTCACAACTAAAATTTTGCTTAACTTTTAAAACAAGATATCTCAGTCATTTTACAATTTTTTTTAAAACGGTTTTTTGCATTTTATAAACAACAATTTTAAGTGTTAGAAAAAATGTCTTTTAAAGTTTTTCGATTCCATTCCTTCTGACAAAATCGAGTCTTTTGTGTACCAAGCTGAAGGTGCGGTGTATAAGGTCTTTGTCCAAATTACGAAGGCAAAGACTGACTCTAGCTTTGAGTTGAGTGATAGTTTTAGCCTGCCAGTCCTTCTCATACACTTTCTGCTTCAAAAATCCCCAAAAATCTTCAATTGGCCTGACTTTCGGGACGTTTGATGGGTTGTCTTGTTTTTGTACAAAATTGACTTTTTTGTCTCTGAGGTCGGCGTGGACTGAGTTTGCATAGTGGAAGCTAGCTAAATCGGGCCAGAATACGTATTTACCATCCCTATAGTATTTGTTAATAAAAGGAATCAACCTCTTTCGTATACACTCGTCACGGTAAATATATTGATTGATTGCCAGGCCAGACTTGAAAAATTTGACACTACTCATTCCTCGAGGTAAAACTGCCACCCAAACAAGTAGTTTTGACTCGCATTTTGCCTTTATTTTGTTCTTCACATCAGTAGGAGTCTTTTGAATATCATCTGAGTAAAATCGGTCATTCCCAGCCAAAGTTGTGTTGGAAAGAGTGAAGTACGATTCATCATCCAAAATAAAATCGACACCACGAAATTTGAGGAAAAGTCGTCCACACTTTGGCCTTGCTAACTTGACTTGTAAGGCTGTCATCTTTGGTTTGACGGTGCGTTTTAGACATCTGATATTTGTTCTTTGCAATAGCATCTTTGAAACGTATTGCTGAGTCGTTTTTAGCTTGCTAGCTACTCTTTTCTGTGAGCAGCCCTTCCGATGATTAAAGAAATTTTTCATCTTACGTATGTTGTTTGCATTCGCTATAGTGGTCGGAGGACCGCTTCCTTTTTTCCTAGTTAGTACTTTATTTTGTTCCAGCATGCTAAGCCAATGATTTAAAGTCCTTTTTGGAGCTCCCATGCTGATAAATTTATCAAAAATATGTTTTCGCCCCAGTCCATGGTTTTTTTGATAGTATTTATACAAAATGGATTTTAGATCTTCATACATTATAGCGTGATATTTTTTGAACTACAAATCATACGAACTATTTAAAAATATATTTGAATAGAGAATGCTTTTGAGTATATTCTGTTAAAATTTTAAAAATATACACAAAGCAGATCTTTATTGACATTATCCCAAAGTTTGGGCAAAATTTTAGTTGTGACCCGTTATTTTGAATGGGAAATGTTTGCTCTACAACCTTATCTTTTGCCACTGGTCTTTAAATTTCAATTTGACCCTGAATTTATGATATTTAATATATATATATATATATATATATATATATATATATATATATATATATATATATATATATATATATATATATATATATATATATATATATATATATATACAAATTTTCTAATAAAAATAATTGGGAACAAGGTATAAAAATCTAAAGATCAAAAAATTTCTATAAAAAAAGTTATTTTAATATATTTGAATTAAACTTGCTTTTATTCGAATTAAACTAATTTAATTCAAAAAATATATTTATTATAATAATTAAAAAAATAATATATATATACTAATAAATATTTAAAAATTAATTTATAATAAATTTAATATATAAAACATTTAAACTTTGTTTTTATTACCTTGAATTTTTAATGTTTACCTCACAGTTTTCCTTTGTTATTTCCAAAAAACTACTTAGTTTATTTTGTATAAGAGCATCCATGTAACCAGCTGGTGGAACACATGCGTACCTGGGTTTCACATTTTCACTTTCTTGTTGATACCAGTTGCATCGACTCACATTATTTGTCATTACCACAATATCCTAGTGCCACAGAATACAATTAATTATTTTTCATGTTTATAATGATGTAGAATTACATCAATTTTAACTGTTTATTTTTTTAGATATTTTTTAAAATTGTTTATTTATTGTTATTAATACAAATGCTTACAGTAAAACTTGGTAATTATAAAACTTGGTAATTATAAAACTTGGTAATTATAAAATGCTTACAGTAAAACTTGGTAATTATAAAATGCTTAAACCTGTTGGATAACAACATAAAACCTTCAAAGAAATTTATTGAAAAATGTTTCATATTCAAACAATAAATAAACTCATTGTAATGAGCTGCATGGTTTTACAAAAAAATTAAAATCGACTAATGGAAACATTTTCAACCATAAGAAAAATTTACTTGAGCATGATAAAAACTAATCAAAGTTGGTCACTTATTCTAAGAATAAAAGCTGTTTTTTGCTGTTTTATATATTAAAAAAAAAAAATTTTAATGTACAAAAAAGTAGTCAAATATTTTTAAGCAAAAAAATGTCTTATCATAAAATATCAAACAAACTATATTTATAGCATTTAATAATTTTTTAAATTGTAAATTAAAATGTAAGCTGTATTATACAAAGAGCTCACTAACAGATAAGTAAAAAAAAAATTATAATAAGTTGTCAATTAAAGTCTAACTCAAATGTTAAGAAAATAACTATAACACTATAAAAGTTAAAAATACAAACATCTACTCATGTAGAACTCAATATGAAAGATAAAACAAAAACATCTACTCATGTAGAACTAAATATGGAAGATAACACACAAACATCTACTCATGTAGAACTCAATATGGAAGATAAAACACAAACATCTACTCATGTAGAACTCAATATGAAAGGTAAAACACAAACATCTACCCATGTAGAACTCAATATGGAAGATAAAACACAAACATCTACCCATGTAGAACTCAATATGGAAGGTAAAACACAAACATCTACCCATGTAGAACTCAATATGGAAGATAAAACACAAACATCTACCCATGTAGAACTCAATATGAAAGATAAAATAAAATATCTAATAAAAAGAGTAAAAAAAAATTAGATGAAAAATTAAAGTCAGGATAAAAAAATCTTTTTGATGAAGATGTCAATAAGTCTTTTAATTTTTTTTTAAATTCAGATCTATTTTACATTCATGCATACAGATAAAAAAAAAGAATATAAAAAAAATACAAAAATCTAACCTTCCAGGGAGTAGGCCTCCAATAAGGATAATAATCTCTTTCTTCAGGGCATTCGTAACCACTACGTGTGCCTTGAGAATTTTGGCGAGTAAACTGTGCTGTGTCTCCACCTAAAACCTAAAAAATGTTTTTGGAGACTTCACATAACAGTTTGTAAAGAGTCCATGTATTTAATAACATAGAAAAATATATTATGACAAAATATGTACCTAAATACATAAACAATAATAAAAATAATAAAAATATTTGTTTTAAAAATAAAAAATTTAAAGTTGAGTTTATTGAAAAATAAAATCTAATATTTAATGGAAACCAGAGTTAGTTGCAACAAGGAAAAGTTGCAACAGTGTCAAGGATTCATTAAAGGATCGTGTTTATTATTTCCTTTTAAATTTATAATTTATTTATTATTTCCTTTTAAATTTATAATTTATTATACCCTTTTAAATTTATAATTTATTTATTATACTCTTTTAAATTTATAATTTATTTATTATTTCCTTTTAAATTTATAATTTATTATACCCTTTTAAATTTATAATTTATTTACTACTTCCTAATAAATTTATATTATGTAACTACAGTATTGTGAAAAAGTTAAGAACCACTAAATAAAAAAAAATATTTTTTTCAAACAAAATTATTTAATAGTATTAAGATAATAAAATAGTATTTTTTTTCAAACATATTAAATAGAACATGAGAAAAAAGATTTTATCTTTTTTGAAAATTAAATTGTAGAACCTATAAAAATAAGGATTAAATATTATGTGTTAAATTTTTTCAATTTTTTTTTTGTGAAAAAGTTAAGAACCACAAAGAATTTTTTGTGCTAAATCCAGTGAAAACGACTTTTTTTAATTGATTTTTACCTTTTTATTTAAATATTCTATTAATGACCTGAGTCGTTGCCAAAAAACAAAAAGTATTAAAAAAAAGTATTTAATTTCAAACAAAAAAAATTATTTTCTTTTGAAAAAATGAGCAAAAAAATTACCTATGAAGATTGTGTAAAAGTAATGCATTTTCACCAGAAAGGTAAAACAGCTTGTGAAATTGGAAAAATAATAACACGATCATATAGTTCTGTGCTAACAATCATCAAAGGATTCAGAGAGACAAAATCTTACGTTGATTGCCATATTTCTGGAAGACTGCGTTTGACGACACCCAATGATGATTGCCTTTTAATCAGGTAGGCAAAGAAGAATCGAACCATGCCGTCGCATAAATTAAGAAGAGAATGTAAGGTTTTAAATGGATGTCAAGCATCAGCATCACTTAAGTGTAGAAAACTAATAGCTAAAAATATGCTTTGGAAAAAAAATCAAAAACCGCGACTTACCAAACAACATATAAAAAAGCGAAAATAATTTTGCCAAAGTGTCAAAGAATGGTCAAAAGAATAATAGAGGACAGTTATGTTTAGTGATGAGATTAATATCGAGGCTGATAACCCAAAAAATCGAATTATGATTCGTAAGCAGCCTTCAGAAAAATATAATCTCTATTGTATCATTCAAAGAACAAAACATGGTAGCAGGTCGGTTGAAATATGGTGATGCATGACATATTATGGTCTCGGTATGTTTAAATGATTTGATGGTCGACTCAACTCTATTTATTACGTCGATACTTTAAATAACAACTTGTAACCATCAATTGATGCACTTGAGCAAAGCGTTCCGTTCATTTTTCAGCATGACAATGCACCATGTCACAGGGCTAAAATTGTTTCTGAATGATTCGAAAGGATAAATATTGAGCGTCTAACTTGGCTATTAAATAGCCCAGATCTTAATTGCATTAAAAAACTTTGGAGTTGGCTTGATAAAGAGATTTCCAAAAAAGCACCAAGGAGCCTTGAGGAGTTGCCCAATATTTTACCAACAATACTTGTAAACATTCCCAAACATATTTAAAAGAATTTAATAGATTCAATGCCAAATCGTATAAATGAGTGCTTAAAAATTCATGGAAGAATTACGCGGTATTAGCTTATATAACTTTTTCACAATTTTTTTAAAATAAAAATTACCTATAAAACTTTAAATACATTATATTTGTTTTGTTTATTCTATATAAAATTCTAGTTTGAGCTTTTAAGGTTTTGGGGTCACTGTCAACAGTCAGTAATTTGCTTAAAAATAAAATATAAAAAATAAAAATATTAACTTCAACTATCTTTTTTTTCTTTTCAAAAAAAAGGAATAATATTATTAATTTAGTATGTTAAATATTATAAATTTAGTAACTAAATATTATAAATTTAGTAACTAAATATTATAAATTTAGTAACTAAATATTATAAATTTAGTAACTAAATATTATAAATTTAGTAACTAAATATTATAAATTTAGTAACTAAATATTATAAATTTAGTAACTAAATATTATTAATTTAGTAACTAAATATTATTAATTTAGTAACTAAATATTATTAATTTAGTAACTAAATATTATTAATTTAGTATGCCTCATATTTTTACTCAGTTACCCAGTTTTTAATTATTTATGGTTGTTTAACTCATTTTTTTAGGCATTTGCATATGAAATGTGATGTAAAATTTTGAAAATTTGTTAGACCCAAAATAGTTTCTGAAAATTTACTTGATTATTCTTTCATATTTTATATAAACAAAATATTAAAAATGTGATTTTCATGAACTTTTAAGTGTTTTATCTCACCACTTGATCTGCCTTGATTTTAACCTATGTTTGTTTGTTCAATTACTAAAGGGTCAGAACCTGCCTAGAGCCTTTTAAAACAATTTTTTAATTTCAACAATTTTGTTTTTGATAACTTGATATTTTTACCCTGAACAATCTTAGTTGTATTTGTCTCCATGCCTTCCATAGTCCATAATTTAAGGTCTGTGTTATGGTTAACTCAATGTCTCATGGTCTGTATTTGGTTACTCATGGTAACTCAGTAACTCAACTCGGTAACTGGTAACTCAATGGTAACTTGGTAACTAAACTTATGGTCTGTGTTTGTTTAACTTAATTAGCTCACAAGTATGCCCTAATTATGAACAGTCGGTGCTTATAATCGATGATAACTATTAGATTATGAATAGCCAATGCTAACCAAGAACATTCCTTGTACAAGAATAATCTTAATTTCCTAACATACACATGTTAATTTTCTGACATAAAATAAACAATAGTAGACAACAGAGACCTTACCTCTAACCTAATTAACTTGCCTCTAAGCTAATATTCTATCATGTTGTTTTTGAAATGTAATCAGTAAACAATTTTCTGCTTTTCTCACTGTACAGAGAGTTTCTAGCTACATTCATCATTTTCTTTGTCTTTTCATCATCTTCTAGTACTAAGTCTAAAAATATCTATCCCATGTTTTCAATGTCTGTACTTATACCTTTATATTGTTCTTAAAATAAATCACAAAGATCTATCTTTGTAATTTATTTTAAGAATTATATTTGAATCTATATTTGCTATCTGCATTAAAATAGTTAAAGAATACATATTTTTCATCAGAGTCCTGTGTAAAAAATTTGAGTTTGTGAATATTTGTTTCTTTATCAAGGAAATTCCATCAGCATCAAAGCTAAAAAGTTTTAGAAGTCAAAACATTGCCTGATATTGGTATATACATTGTGAAGCTGATTATACACTTTATGCCATTCAAAGCAAATTTTGATTTTAAGAATTAAATTTGTTAGGTCAAATATGGTATGAAAAGCCTAAATCTGGGATACTGTGAATTTGGTAAACTCTGTAAAAGTAAACTCCAATATTAATATAAACTCAGGAAGGAAAATTTTTTCAGAGAAGTAATAAAACTTTTGAAATCTTCTTTCCAACTTGGTTAACATTTGGTTAACAACTTGGACAACATCCACATTGTAAGCTCTAAGCATTTTCCTCAGCTTTCTGTATGCTAATCAATTCAACAGTGAATCACAACAAATCCCAGAAGTTATGACAGCTGATATTAGGGTGATTTTGACACAGCTAGAGCATAAATGTTTAGATACCAAAAAACGACAAACATCCTTTACATCAATATTCTTGAATTCAGCAAGTTTATCCATTATTAAGTTGTTCCAGAGTTTTTTTTCTTTGAATTTTTAACTTTTTGAATTTTTTAGAAACTTGATTTCATTTTTTTCTCTTTCTTTGTCTATTATCTTCTGCATTGTAGGCATCATCTGGAGTAATAGAAAATTTAGTCTTGTGTTAAAATGTGTTGCAACTAGCCCTGATCCCCTATACAACAAGTTGAATTCTGTTAACACTAGTTAATTCATAGTATTTCAACTTAATTCATTAACAATAAATTGCATTTATAGTTATTCCATGAACATTAACTACTTAATATTTTTATCATTTCATTTATTTTTTTTAAACTTCATATAACTTTTTCATTAATACCATTTATAAACACTCAATTAACATTAACTAAATATAACATTTACAAATTTTATTTAATTATTAATGATTGCACTTATATATTATATAAAGGAATAATCAGTTAACATAATCATTAATTGTAATGAAAATTATTATAATTATTCCATTAACATTATTAGTGAAAAAAGAAATAATCACAAAAATGTTAATGAAATTAAATGGGTAAATAAAAGATTTAAAAATTGAATAGATATATAGTAAAACTTGGATGTTGACCAACCAGAGTTTACATTCATCAAAGAAATTTTAATTTTAAATGTATTATTGTTTTAAAGACTTCGATCACAGTTTTTAAACATTTTTCATTTTATTATTAAACATTGATTTTTTTTTTTAATATTTTCTATTTTCTTTCCTTAAAGACTAATATATTTCACTCTAAAAAGCATTGGTTGAAACAATGACAAGAAAAGCAATCAAAAGAAAAAAAACTCCTCGAAAAATATTTAATTTTCTAATTTAAAATAAAAATTTTTTACTAGCGAAATTACATTCTGATTATTTTAATATCAAAAGTTTTTATAATGAAAACATAAATATTTGTGAACAAAACCCTCTAAAATATTTGTGAACAAAACCCTCTAAAATATTTTCGAACAAAACCCTCGCTAATTAAATATTGTAATAAAGCTTAAGAATAATTTTTACATTAAACAAATGCTAACAATAGACATATATACAACACTTTACCAAGAGAAATTTGTAAAGCAGCCATATTACATTAAAAATAGCCATTATGTTAAATAAACACTAAAACAAAGTCACATAAAGTCCCATCAAGTCACATTGAGTCAAATGGGTTATTTAGATTTACAATATAAAGATATCAACCCAAATTATAATAGATCATATCTTAAACACCATCTCTGTTTTAAATCTCAGCCCCAGTCCCTTTTCTCAGATCTTATTCTTTACTTTTTGAAATTTATTATTCTTATAAATGGAGGTTCCTGAAGCTTCAGTATAACAAGTGTAACATAAGTTCAGTGATTAACATTTACAAAGATAAGTTCAGTGATTAACATTTACAAAGATAAGTTCAGTGATTAACATTTACAAAGATAAGTTCAGTGATTAACATTTACAAAGATAAGTTCAGTGATTAACATTTACAAAGATAAGTTCAGTGATTAACATTTACAAAGATAAGTTCAGTGATTAACATTTACAAAGATAAGTTCAGTGATTAACATTTACAAAGATAAGTTCAGTGATTAACATTTACAAAGATAAGTTCAGTGATTAACATTTACAAAGATAAGTTCAGTGATTAACATTTACAAAGATAAGTTCAGTGATTAACATTTACAAAGATAAGTTCAGTGATTAACATTTACAAAGATAAGTTCAGTGATTAACATTTACAAAGATAAGTTCAGTGATTAACATTTACAAAGCTTTAAGAGACTTTTTTTAAATACTTATATATAATTAATCAGAAAAAAAATGCAGTTGGTAAAAAAAAAAAAATTTTTTTAAAAACACACCTGAGTAGCAGTGAATAATCCTTTGTTTCTTTTTGTTTTTATACATTTCATGTAGTAGTCGTAATCTTCATTCATGCCAAAGCTGTTCAAAAACAAAATTTAATTAGATTAGTTGTATCATAAATTATAAAGATAAAAAACATATACTAATAAATTATATAAACATATAACATTTTGGAAAATCATATTTGAAAAGCAAAATAAAATAGCTTTGTTTATTTTTAAAATTATTTAAAAGTTTGAAAATTGTAACAGATTAAAATACAGGTTGAAAGCATAACTAACTATCATTACTAAATACTGTTTGTTTATACAAGTTACTAGAAACCAGCATTAAAAAATTTTTTTTTTTTTTTAATTTTTTTTTTAATTCACCTTCGCAAGGCCAAGAAGGCCACTACAGATGAGGAGGCTACTTATTGATTGAGAGACGACTTAAAAGATTCCAAATTATATGAATCAGGAAAACAAGATGAAGGAAACGAAATCCAAAGAACTGATATTCGAGAAAAGAAACTAGACAAATAAGAATTTTTGGAACACTTAAGAACAGTCACAGTAAAAGGATAAGACTTAGTTAAATGACAAGTAACACGAATGAATTTTAGCAGATAGCACAAGAGATGCTAGCTCTTTAGAGCAGTGCCCATTATAGTATTTTTAGAAAAAAAAAAATGAAGCAATATTACAACAATGTGATAATGGTTGGAGGTTGGCTACAAGAGCAGGTCCAACTAAATTTACAATGCCTTTTTGCACCTTATCTAAAAGAGAAAGGGCATCATTGAAAGAACTGCCAAGATATGGCAGTTAGTATTCCATACAACGACAGATTTGAGATTTATAGAGATAAAGAATAGAATCTGGAGTGAGAAGTAGGTGAGCATGATAAAGAGATGAAACCTTAGCAGATGCTAATTTTCCAATGGATTTGATAAATAGTTTCCAAGAAAGCTTGAAAGTAAGTGTTAGTCCTAGAAGATGAAGAGTAGATGACTCATCAATTACATTATTAATCATAAATATAGGAAGATTATGTATTATAATTACATCTACATCGGCCTAATAGATGAAGAAGGGGTGTGAGGCTGGTCAACACATAGAATCTGTTTACCCATTAAGTCTTTGTCTAGGAGGCCTTCTACAAGAAAGTAGCTGGATGTGTTTAACATCTGCCCAAGATCGTATGTGGTAGTAGTGTAGTGGTAGAGCGCTCGCTTCATAAGTAAGAGGTTTGGAGTTTGATTCCTACCACGTCACTGGTAGTACCGCGCTCAACTTGTTTCTCCGCGAAGCGGCCTTGTTCGTCAAGGTTTGTGTTTCAGAGTTATAGAGTTGAGAGAGGGTTATAACCACAAGTAGCCTCCTCATCTGTAGTGGCCTTCTTGGCCTTGGGGAGGTGAATTACATAAAAAAAATTTTAAAAATGAGTATTTTTATCAAGACACCATCTCTAGTCTTTACTTAACCGAGAGCCTCAAAGCTGGAAGTGCTTTAAGTTGGAGTTAGCTTCTGCTAGCCTTTGGCAAATAACCACATTTTTTTTTAGGTCAATTTGTCCAATAAATACTTAAGTTTACTAGTCATGTCCGACAAAACCTAACAAAAAAATTTACTTTAATAAAACATTTTGTTTTTACAACTTGATCACGGCAGTTTGCATGTTTTGACAACTTAGGGCTTTTTAAAAATGCACTGAAAATAAGTAGAGAAATTAAAAGATAACTTGTTTAAAAAAGAAAATCTTAAATTAAGAGAAAAAATTTAAACTTAAAAAACTAAAATTCAAAAAGGAAAATATTTTACATTTAGTTATTTAAAAACTTTTGAAAACTTTTTTTATACAATGCAAAATACTTTGTAAATTATTAAATATATTAGTTACATATGTTATTATGTTTACTTTATTATGTTTACAACAAATTACTTCTAATGATTGTTTACAATAAACTAATTTAATTTAAATTATCAAACAATATTCATTTATATAAAAATGTATTTTTTATGATAAATCTTTTCAAACTTTTTCTATGATTAATTGTATGATTAAAGTTAAGTAACTTTACTCAAATTTAACAGTTTAATAAAAAAAAGTACTAGTTTCTATTAACATTAAAATAACTGTTATGTTAAAATTTCTATTAAATAAATTTAAAAGGGGTTTTAAAAGCTAAAATATTCTTTTACATTTTATAAACCATCAGACAAAAAAAAAAAAAAAAAAATTAAAATTAAATATATTTTAAATTTATAATAAAAAATTGCAACATTTAAATATAAATAAAACCAGGCTGCCTAATTCAAAAAAATTGACAAGTTTAACGTCTTTTAAAAAAATGAATTAACTCAAAAAAAATCATATAATCTGTTTGTTCAACTTCATTTTCTGTTTTGTATAAAAATTAAAAGTTGGAATTTACGAATAATTTTGGAGCCATTATTAAATAATTATCATAAACAAAATGACTTGTAAATGTTGCTTTTTGCCTAACAAGTGTTGGACATTGTTTGATGTCTGACAGCTATTATATATATATATATATATATATATATATATATATATATATATATATATATATATATATATATATATATATATATATATATATATATATATATATATATATATATATAACATTGTTTGATGTCTGACAGCTATTTTTGCCCTGTATATATATATATATATATATATATATATATATATATATATATATATATATATATATATATATATATATATATATATATATAACATTGCTTGATGTCTGACAGCTATTTTTGCCCTGTATATATATATATATATAAATATATATATATATATATATATATATATATATATATATATATATATATATATATATATATATATATATATTTACACCAAGAGACCAAAGAACAATTGCTCATTTAATTGCTTCTGGAGAGTCTAAAACTGCAAAGGATGCTACTAATTTAATGAATAACAGCTATGGGACTCATGCTTCAGTGCGGACAGTCAATAGAAAGCTCAAAAGGATTAGTTTTCAATCCAGAAGGAAGATTAAGAAGCCATTGTTAGTTTCTCGTCACCGCCAAGCTCATTTAAATTATGCTAAACTTCATGCACACATGACTTTTGATGACTTTTATGACTGGATTTGGACAGATGAAAGTAAAACTAATATGTTTGGATCAGATGGTATAAGATATACTTGGAGAAAGCCTAATTCACCATTAAGTACTCGAGATTTTACACTAACCATCAAATATGGCGGAGAAAAACTCTTGTTTTGGGGATGTTTCAGTGCTTGTGGAGTCGGTGAATTAGTGGAAATTAATGGAATAATGAACGCTGATGACTATATCAACATCCTTAAGGTCAGATATTTCAAGTCCCTTTGAAAATGGGGCAGAACTGTGCATAATACGATTTTCGTACAAGACAACGACCCCAAGCATAAGGCTGATAAAACCATTAAATTTTTTCACAAGAAGAAATTGAAAGTCGTTGACTGGCCAGCACACAGCCCTGATCTTAACCCACTCGAAAATTTATGGGCAATAGTTCAACATATAATATATATATATATATATATATATATATATATATATATATATATATATATATATATATATATATATATATATATATATATATATATATATATATATATATATATATATATAATATGCACAATTATTTAAATATAATATAAATAAAAAACTCTTACTTTTGATCAGTGTTACAATTATTATTTGTACAACTTGCAGGATTAGTAGGTATTATACTAAACAAAATAAAAAAAGTAAAAGAAGAAAAACATAAAATAAAAAAAGGAACAAAAACAAGCCATTTTTTTAGAATACCATTTTTTATATAGTTTTTTAACAATATAATGCATTGTGTTTCTCACATTTTTTATACTTTTCATTCAATTAATGACACAATAATGACATATGACACCAATATTCATAACAAATTAAAAAAAAATATCAACATATTTATCAATAAAATGTGTATATAACAGTTCACTTCATTTACTTATTAAATTACTTTATACTTTAATTTTTATTATTATATTATATTATACTTTATATTTTATACAAATATTACTTTATATTCTGACTACCATTATAATGGTAACTGCACTTAATGCATTTAGTGCAGCTTTTTTATAAACCAATGAAATAAATGTTTTTTGTAATTAAAATAAATTAAAGTATAATTTTAAGTAATTAAATATTTCCAGCAAATGCAAACTTTTTTTAGCAAACTTGAGACATTGTTTTATTTAATCAATTCTGATATTATCTCTAATCTTTTAAAATTCACCAGATTTGCTTGCTCTTTGTGAGACTAATTTTAATTCGGCTGTTCCTTCTTCAAATCTCAGAATTAATGGGAACTTTCTTTTAATTCACAAAGACTAAATGTCACAACTGCCTGGCTTGGACGTATACTTACTCATCAATTCACCTATTTGTAGTGAAATCAGGTTCGAATCATTTGACTGTTCTTTTATGTTCTTCCACATAGCACATCCTCACTCTATCGCACCTCCTCACTCTATCGCACCTCCTCACTCTATCGCACCTCCTCACTCTATCACCTTTTCTTCTATTTTACTCTTTTAGATTTCATTAATTTAATTATAGATTAAATTGGCCATGCTCTTTCCCTCTGCCAATATTGTTGTTATTGGTGACTTTAATGCTCATCATACTGGCTCTAATGTCACTGACCCTGCTGGCACTAAAGTCTATAACTTCTGCATTTCTCAATCTCTTACTCATAGTTAACTTTGTGACTCATTTTCCTGACAACCCTAATCATTTAGCTTCACTCCTTTTTTTTATGTCTGGTCACTGATCCTAGCTTGTGTTTAGTTTTGCCTTTTTCTAGCTGTAATCATTTTTTTCATCTTTTTTAAAAGAATAACTCTCTAGAGAACAAATGGCTATTTATTATTGCAAGAAATCAATGTAAAAAAGTGTTGTCAAATGCTTAGCTCCATTACTCTTAGTTCACCAAGTCTTATCTCAGAAGTTAGAGTCTAGACACTTTTGGAAAATCTTCAACAGCATTGTTAACAAGGGTAGGTCTAACATTCCATCTCTCATTCATGGGACTGTTCTTATTACCTCTCCCAAGGATAAGGCAGAACTATTTGCAAAGAACTTTTCTGTTAATTTGACTCTCGAATCTTGACTATTCTCTTCCTTTCATTTTAATTAAACAGGTTAAGCAATTGTTAGACATGCAAAGCACTTCTGCTTCCATTGCTAAAGTCATCTCCATTAAACTCTTCTAAGGCTTGTGGTCCAGAAAACATTCTTGTCATATCCTTTTCTGTTTTATTTCTTATCAACATTACTGATCTTCCTGACAACCTTACATCAAAAGTAGCTCTTCTTGCTGATGACAAAAAAGACTTCTTCTTTCGATTGCTTAGAACAAAGAGTTCTGAATCTGATCTCACTTCTATAACAGAATGGAGCTCACAGTGGCTTGTAATTTTTATCTCCAACAAATCTCAGTTATTTACTGCAAAAAACTGTCAAGTAACACTCATTCTCGTTTGACTTGTCATTCAGCTAAGTCTCATTTTTTTACTGTAACTGTCCTGCATGCTCTAAAAACCTTAATTTGTCTAGTTTTTTGGTCTGCAATGCAACTCTTTGAAACTCACTCATCTTCATGTTTTCCTGACTCAAGCAACCTACAACATTTTAATTATTCTGTCAACTGTTTCCTTGCACTATGACTCTATTCTTTTTTTTCTTAGTAACTGCCCCACTTAATAGTGGTTGCTTGCAACCTAGTTGCAAGTGAATCTAAACAAAAACAAAACAAAAAAAACTTGGTTAAACAACAGAACATGAACGTTAAATGAAAAACGCCTAAGTATTTTGTCATGAAAATAAAGCCAAAAGTTTACTCACATTAGTTCATTAGTATTATTTAAATTTATACCGTATTTACATTTAAAGCTTTTTTTAATGTAAAAAGTGCCAGTAATAAGTCTTCAATTTTCTAATGAACATCTTGAGACAAAAAAAACTTTTAAAATCTTGATGATTCATTTACCACTAGATTCATTCATACATGATTCATTCATTGCATTATTGTTCAGATGATTTATTCACATTTATCGTATGATTTTTTTTTAATTCATTACATGATTTATTCATCATAAAACTGCACCTTCTAAGTATTAATTTAGTTTTCATAATAACTTGTTATAAAATATTCTTAACATTTGGTTATGGTATATAATTTTAGAGGTAAGCAAAAACTTTTTGTTAACCAGACTCACATTCCTTCGTCATCTATATAGGCTAGCGCAGATGTAAACCTTTGTTGCATGATTTACTACATATTTAATTAATACATAGTTCATTGTTCATAGTCCTACTATGAACAATCAATTATATTAGACCTTTTTTTAGTGGTGCACCAATTATTCAATAATGGCTTACTTAATTTCTTGCATATTTACAAACAGTATTAGTTTCAGCGTTTTTATATTTATTTACTAAATTTTTTTACCAAATAATGTTTTTAAACATTATCTCTTTATCCTCTTATAAGAAAATAATTATATGCCTAACAAACCAAACTTATTATTCTATTAGTAGTAGTTATTTACTCAGTTATTTACATATTGCAACAAGGACAAATTTTAAAAACAATTTTAACTATGTTTTTTTTGCTTTCATTGTTTTTTTTCAAACATTTTAAATTCAAGGCTGCTTTTGTATTTTTTACTCAAGATTTAATCTCAGTTACGTTTAAGTACAAATAATTTGATAACCATTTTAAACTTATGATAATCATTTTAAAACATTAAAAATTAATAAAGCTTATAAAAACTTTAAATAAATAAATGAAACAAATTATCAAATTCAAATTTTTTATTTTTCAAAATTAAAATTTTCTAATTTACAGTAAAAAAAACAAAATTGAAAGAGTGAAAACTGAAAAAAATTAGTACCAAACCCCATTCAACAACATCAACCAGAATCAATCACGCTCATCACATTTTACACTTGTCTCTGAACCAACCTTGTAAATAAATTGTAGCTGGACCTGTTCAGCAGGTCCTAATTTAACTTGGCAACACTCTTTTTGCAAGTAATTAGACACAACTTTTATGTGATGTCAGTGTTGAAAAATAATTTAGAAGTAATAAGGTAGAAGGCTCTGTGAGAGTTCGTCGTTTGTCAGAAACTTCAACATTATTGCAATAATGATTAGTTACAAGCAACTGAACTTTGTTTGGATTCACTAGTTTCATTAGCCACTGTAAGCCCTAAACTTACCATAGAAGAGATCAAGATTGAATTCCTGTTCTGAGATACTTTTATTATAGAATATGTGGTTGGATCTTTAGTAAATAGAACCACATTAGAGGTTAGAATATTACCACACTAGAGGTAAGAATATTACCATATTAGAGGCGAGGAAGGTTATTAATGAAGATGAAAAACAAACCACTGCACTGTAACCTTTTCTTGAAGGTTGACAACAAATAATAGTCCTATTACTAAGGCAAATTCTAATGAGGGTGGTTTCAATTCATTGGAGAAGGATGCAACAGTCATCAGCACAAAGCAGTACTGACCTCTATAATTTGGTAGGCCAGCTTCAAATAATCTAAACTTGTTTTTACTGTAATTACCTTTTATTGAAAAGTAGTATTAGTCAGGTTTTTCTAAACAACACAATTACATTTCATACTTTTTGTCAGTTAAAAATTAACAAACAAATGGTTATTTATAACTAATTCGTCTAAACAGGTGAATTTTTTTCTTTTTTGAATTCTAAACTGTTTTTTTTTTTAGATTTGAAGGTTTTTTTATCATCTTCATACTACATCTTCTTTACCTTCAAAAGAATAACAAACACATCGGCAATACTTTTTTGGTCAGCTAAAGAAAGACAAAATTTTTCGGCAGCGTTCTCTATAATTTACTTTTAATTTATTCTATGTCTAAAAAAGAACAGAAAAAAATTTAAATTTTCTTTTCTAATAATGTATTTTAATTTAAAATGTAAAAACATTTAAAAAAAACATCTCATTATTATAGTATTTAAATTCTGCTATATGCAAAGTATAATATTAAAACATTTAAAAACCTATTTGAAATCTGCTAACACTAATAATATTTGATTCACAAGAGTAAAACCTATTTAATACAAACAAGAGTAAAACCTGTTTTTTTTTTTATTTGCATTCACTCCCAACAAGGCTGCAAGCAACCTCTATCAAGTTGAGAGTTACTAGGAAAAAAAAGAACAGAGTTAAAGAGCAAGGAAACGGTTGACGGAAGACTTGAAATGTTGAAGGTTGTATGAGTCAGGAAAACATGAAGATGGAAGAGAGTTCCAAAGGATTGAAGTGCGGGGAAAAAAACTAGATGAATAAAAGTTTTTAGAACATGCAGGGACAGATACAGTAAACGAATGAGACTTAGCTGAATGACGAGTAAAACGAGAATGAATTTTAGTTGATGGAACTAGAGATGATAACTCCTTTGAGCAGTGACCATGAGAGTATCTGTAGAAAAGAGAACTTTACGATGATGGGAAAGAGGTTCAAGCTTAGCAGATAGTCCAGGTCCAACAACATTTACAATGCGTTTTTGGACCTTGTCAAGAAGAGAAAGTGAATCGTTAGAAGAACCAGCCCAAATATGACAACAGTATTCCATACAGGGACGAATAAGAGATTTGTAGAGGTAGAGAATGGAATCAGAAGTAAGGAAATGGCGAGCACGATAAAGA